ATCGTGTGAGACCTGAGTTTGATTCTTTTTCCACAATGTCTACAGTAAAAGGAAAGGGATTTGTGCTTGTCAGTTTTAAGTATGTAAAAATAAATTAACATTTGTGCTATTTGTGCAATCACTTCAGCACAAACTCGGTCACTCAGTCGATCCACAACTGCGTTCCAAACTGAAATATTTGGTGATTATTTTTAATATTTTATGATTGATAGCCAAACCTACTGAAACAACATGATAATTATTGCAGAAATCAGGTTGGTGATAAAGATGCCATCAGAAATCGAAATTCAACGTAAAGAACGATATAGCCATAACTTTATTTGTGTTTTGTTTGATTATAAAATTATGTAATTTTCAATTATTCATATTCCCCACCCCTCTGCTGATGTCAGGAATACGGCAGTCAGTGTAGGATGAACTTGTGTTGGTGAAGGCAATTAAAGAAAGACTCAAATGTGGTGTTTTTCTGAATTTACACATTCAGTGGTAATTCACATTCATTAATTTCAAACGAAGTGTTGTGTCACACAGAGTAAACTCATTGTAGTTTCTGTATACATGTCTTCTGTGACTTACAGGTTAAGTTGTGTCGATCACTACGAGGAGACAAAGAGCTGGATTCATTTCCCAAACTGTAATCACAGCTGGCATCACTTTGTTGATCTAAACTTAGACGTCTCAGCAAATCATCAATTGTGACAGTAAACTGGCAGAACCACTGACTGGTTGAGCTTCTTTTCTACCAGATGGTTGTTGTTTTAACTGGATCCCTTTCTTCTCCAAAGTACAGGTTACATCTCATATCATTATTAGCAGATCCAGGCAGAGAGCAAATAAAGAGAACGTATTCACCCTCAAAATGCTGAAGACTCATCTGTGGTTTTTGACCTACAGAAAGATTAATGAAAAGTTAAATACAATGTGACATTCTGCTACCAAGTACACTGTATGTTCTAGCAGTGTAGCAACACTTTCAATCAGTGTTCACATTAAAAGAAGTCCTTCATTCATTACATTTTTACAATGAATTTCAACTTAACTCAAATGATTTATAATGACAATTGTTTGTTATCTTGCAGCAGTATATGATAACATATGAAAGAATGGGAAAAGGAGTTACACACTGTGTATGGTGATGGTGGATATGTCACTGTGTGGAGATGGAGAATTTAAATCCCCAATCTTTACAGTGTAATAACATTTCACTTCAACCTCAGCAGGTGAACTCTGATGTGACATTAACAGCAGTTCAGTTCCTGTCAGTCTCTTCATACAAGGAAGGACTCTGACATGTCCTCCACTAACAGTGTAGAAATAACACTGAGACACAGAAACAGAAGATGGAGCCTCACAGCTCAATGTGACTGAGTCTGTCTCTGTGATCACCAGTGAATTCACTCTCAGTTTAGGTGGATGAAGAGCTGGGGGGAAACACGTTATATTTGATACTAAATAACTAAAATTAAGAGAAATACTGTAACCATGTATAAGAACAGTCAATTTAATAACTGTAATAAACTTCCTATACAGGGATAACAACATAGTTTGACATAAAAGATAACAGATCAGAAACTGACCTTGAACTTGAATCTTGTGAAAGGAATCTGTTGGAAATGTGTTTTAATAAGATAAATAGACGTAATAATAATAATTCATTAATAACTGTACCTTACTTGTAACTTGTAATCTACATTAATAATGAAATAATAAGAGGTTTAACTTACACATGAGGAAGACGAACAACAGGCGTCCAGCCATGATGAAGCTGAATACAGAGACTGTCCATAAAGACACTTTAGTGACTGACTACAAACTTTGACATATTAAAGTTTCATTTTGCAGAACTTGTTTGCAGGAAAACCACAGGTAGCATCAAAAGTTAACCATAAAGACAGGCCACAGAAAAACAGTGTAGGAGTGTGTAGGACAAACTGCGGTGGCCACAAAACTCATGAAAGGCCCTATAGAGAGCCAGTGTTTGGTTTATCTGTTCTGTTCCCCTGTAGCAACATGGCGGTTCAACATGGCAGACTGCATGGAAGGCAACTTGCAATGCTGATAAAAACAGCTCAGGTTACTAAAACACTTATTTGGGTGATTATACACAAATGAATACATATCTACGAATATTATATTACATTTCTGCCAACAAATCCTGGACCTTTAAGGTCTCATAAATCCTTTTAGGTACAAACATGATTTATGTTTTATGTATACAGAGCTTTTTAAATGAATATGAAACCAGACTTCAGCTTTAGTTGAGTATAATGTTTTTATCATTTAAAGCATTGCAACACATGATATCTTCTGACCAAACTTCAGTTTCTAACAATTCAATAAAGTTCAATTAAACATTTACACCATTCTAATATCTGCTCTGGCAGATAATGATGTATATAATGTTTACATCAATTAACTGTACATAACAAAGCAAAGTGAAACAGATCAAAGTAAATCAACGCTTGTATTTCAAAGTGACTTTGGAGTGCTGTACGCTGTATCTCTCTGAGCTGCTGCTGTTGTCACCCTGTGAAGAGAAAGAAAAACATACAACTGTCCTCAGTGAAAAGTAAATGATTGCCATCATTTTTCATTCATCAAGTTATTAAAGTTGCACCTGTTTCTGTCCGTACTTTACTTCTTCAGCAGATGAAACAGCCTTCTGGTTTCAAACTTTGCATATACATCAGCACAGCGAACATCAAACTTTGAAATGTAGTAACAACAGGTAAATCACATTATAACAGCTATGATTTATTTAAATTTTAACAGTCAAAAATAAGATACGTTTTATCTCACTTGACTCAAATATTGCATTCAAGTATATCCTACCATGATTAAACACCACACACATCATCATTGCTGACAATACAAATACTAAACACAAAACAACACACAAAAAACGGCAAAAGTGCCATTTCAATGGGAACAGAGGTTGGTATGGTTTGTAACCCCTAAAGAAAAATTCACACATGAACTATTGTACCATGCCACTTCATTGTTTTACAACATCTTGTTCTGATACTGTATGAAGACATAATAATATCAGTACAAACAGTCACTCATTGTGTATGGTGATGCAGGGTGTGTCACTATGTGGAGTTGGATCATTTGTCTTAAGCTTTAAAGTATAAAACCATATCACTTCAACCTCAGCAGGTGAAGTCTAAAGTGACATCTTCAGCAGTTCAGTTCCTGTCAGTGTCTGCAGACAAGAAGAGTTTCTGATATTTCCTCCTCTTACAGTGAAGAAATAACACTGACACTTCGGTGTCGGACTACGCGAACTTTGACAGATGGGTCATTTTTCAGAACGTGTTCTCAGTAAAACCACAGAAAGCATCACAAGAGAATCACACTGACAGAGTAACCACAGAAATACACACACTTGATATCTTTTATAAAGCCCCTTTATGTTTGGTACCGTATATTTAGATCAAACCTGCTACAGTGGTGACTAACTGGTTCAGAAAAAAATCGATCATTGTATCTGTTTTAGTGGTGGCTTTTTCTAAAATACCAGGACTAGGTCTATATGTACTACATCACATAAAGCTAATCCCATTTTATTGTGGAGAGAAAGATCACCCCTGAACCAAAACATGCATGATTTGTGAGCTGGCGTGTGACCCCACAAACAGACTGTGTGACCCTATCTTGTCCAATGCAACGCTGTATTGCTTTTAGTATGCAAGCCAACAGACAGAGTTGCAGTTGTTTATTATTTATAGATGTCCCAAATTAGCCACAAATTAGCTAATACCCCATAGATGTAGAAAGCATCTATGAAGCATAAAAGTAATGTTGTAATTTAGATTTATGATGCAACAACAAAAATGTCAGCCAAAAAGTGTCAGTTCCTGCTCACTGTAAATCTCACCCTCCCCTCCCCTCCCCAGGTCAGAGATGTTTGCCACCTGCTGTATGTGTAATAAGAGTAAAATCTTCAAAGCACCAAGTTACAGAAATAAGCTTGGAAACACCCCCTCCCCCAATCATAAACTCAGTCTCTCAGACCTGTCCTGGTCTTTGCTTCAGTTCGCCAGCAGAGGGTGTAATTGTTCCACAAATTCTGATGTCGTGCAGAAAAGACACAGACACAGCATGGGGTTGAGAAAGTTGAGGATACTGGCTCTATAGGAGGTAATGCTGTTAGTTTGACCAGGGCACTTATTCAAGGATGCCAAAAATGAGAAGAACAACTCCACTGCAGATGCCAAGCTGCAGCTGCCTGCCTTTTGACCATAATGTAATGATGCCAGAGCTAAAGAAGCAGCCTCCAGCAGCAATCTTTGGCCACAGCTGACTATTTCTTATACCAAAATCTAAAAAAGACAACAGTTACATTAAGTGCCTCTTTGATTGTAACCTGTGGCCCTTTGCTTTATGTTGTCCGCCCTTTTATGTCTATCTTTTCCTGTCCTATCAATATAAAGACAGAAAAGCCCCAAAAATAAGTTAATCTTTGATGTTAAGATACTCAACTTGTAGCTAGAGGTCTGTCAGGCTTTTAAATTAACTTCAACATCAATATTACTTCCATAATTGCTGTTGTAATCACACCCTAAAAAATATTTAAATGGAAAGTAAGTTGCACTTCTGAGTACTTTATCAATCAAGTACTTTTATACATTTATTTATCAAGTCCAGTGATTCCAAGTGAACTTTGACTTTTTATGCCTCCACACCGGCAACAGCCAAGATGTTTTCAGGTTGTCCCATTCTTGTAAACTCAACATCTCAGGAACGCCATGAAGGAATTTCTTCAAATTCATCACAAACATCCACTTAGACTCAAAGAAGAAATGATTCCATTTTGGCGGTCAAAGGTCAAGGTTATTGTGACCTCAACATAGATTTTTAGCCATAATTTGCCTCATTCTGGATTTAGAGCGTCATCAGAATGACTAATGGTGATCCTGTGAGTGAGTGAGTTTCACCTACAGCTCAGAGAGAAGCTTCTAATCCAAAAATGGAAAGAATAAAACAAAAGCACCACATTCTGTATATCTATACTCCATTTTTAATCAATTACATGTGATCAATTGCATGTGTACCTGTTTAGCCAATAAATCTATAATAATCCTTCATCAGTTCAAACATGTATATTCACTGAAATCATTCACACCACCAGTAAAGTGATACCTTTAATTTAGCTGAAACAATAAACTTTGTAATTTTCTACACATATATACAATTAAACATATATATATGTATATATAATCATATATATATAATTCTTTAAGTGATCACCACATGATTCTATGAGTCTGGACAGACATGGATGTAAACTGCAACTTGACTGGTTGGTGGAGGCATTTAACCAGAGTGTGTTAGGTTGCCAGGAACAAATATTTTAGAAAAAACATTTACAGAGAATATTTTGCAAATAAATGTATGAACATTTGTGTTGAGGACAAACAGTTTGTAGATATGTTTACTATAATTGTTTCACTTCAACACCTAATATAGAGTACTGTGGCTATTGAATGACGTAGTTAGAATATGCAAATAGTTATTTGATGCAAATGTTAAACAAGATATCTACATTCCTTTTAGGTATAAAACATTTTCAGTGAGTCTGCACTGTGCTGTACACCATGTCATTCGGGGCTGATGGAGGTTGGTCGTCAGGGATAGTGCAGTACACATGGTATATGTCAGACTAGAAAGGAAAGAAACCAACTGTAAGAGCTCTTTAAATCTGAAGCATCTATAAAACTACATATATAGCAAACATGTTCAGTACTGAGCCCCGTCTCACTTACGTCCTCAGTTTGAGGCTCTCGCCTGTCTAGTTTGTCAGAACCTGCAAGGAAGAGAGAACCAAACACAAAGATGATTGTTTCAGTCAAGTTTAGTATTTTATTGCAAAATCTGTATAAAATAAGAAGAGACACAGTAGTAAGATGTGTAAGTTTTCTGTAAATACAAAAGCCTATAGTAGGCTATAATCCACCTGATCATGTATTCATTGTACTCCCATAAAAGTAGATGTCTGCAATAAGTCTTCAGTGATTAAATATCTGTATCATAAATTTAAAATTTTTTTTTTTAAAGAAATCTATATCACCAGTTAGTGAAAATATTATGGAAACTACTGTTGACATAAAATGGCCACAGATACCTTGGTCTCTAGTGGAGAGCCCTCTAAGTGTCATGGAGAGAATATTCTTTATTTGTCATTCATGCATTCATACTGTTTAAATGACTGTATATCAATCTACTTGTGCGTAAGCAAACACAACCTCACCAGACTTCAGTTCATTCAGAATGCAGCTGCCAGACTCCTCACTAATTCTAACAAAAGAGTTCATGTGATCCCAACTTTAGCATCATTATACTGGCTACCAGTGTATTTTAGAATCTATTTTAAGGATTTAATTATCATCTTTAAGGACCGAATGGGACTGGCTCCTGAGTAGATCAACGACTGTTTAGTTCCATATGAGTTTAAGTGTAGCCTGAGCTCCTCTGATGAGTCCCTTTTAAATCTCTTTTAAAAACTGACCACCCTGTTAAGAACTAAATGAGGGGATATCTTTTGGAAGAAAGGTGTTCATCCCCCCTGTAGAGTTCCAGAGACCACATTGAAGCTGTTCTGGCGGCACCTGGTGGCCAAGCATTTTACTGAGACGACTGTTTTTTCCTTTAATTTGTCAACCGTCTGCAGTTGCTTTTGAGGCCTACCAACAGAACAGTCATGGATTTGTTTGAGAACTTCTGTCTGTTTCTGTGGACAGAATCCATTCATGTTTTCACAAGGCTTTTATTGTATTGTATTTATCAAAGACAAACTCAGTACAGAAAGAAAGGGCTGGCAGCAGCAGCTCTGCAGCGGAAAAGCTCTCTACATGGTCACCTCAGGCGTGTCACATAAAGCAGCTACCAGACACTGCTCATGCAGTTTATGTGTACCAACCATAAACCACTGAAGATATTTTTGTCCTTGATGAGAACACTACTGTTATATCTCTTACTGCTTTCTACTGGGGAGACCAATTGATCTAAGAATTTGTTTTATTGTCACTAATTACATAACTGTGCCTGTTGAGCAGCGGTACTATATCAACATACCAACAACCCTGTTCAAAGTAAAATTCAGTGAGCTGGATACTGGAGCGTGGTGCTGGGAGCAGATGATCAGAAATAATTATGGCTTAAAGGAAAGGGAGAAAAGTCTGGTGAGATAACACAAAAGTATTGCGAAGGAACGCCAGGTTAGTCCCCACAAAAATTCTCATGGTGACCCTTAAAAGGCTCTTTAGAAACTGGTTAGAGATGAAACAATGTCAGACAGGAGATGGAAATGTAATGAGTTGATGCTTCTGTCTAAAATCAGACACATTTCTTGGGACAAGTGCTAGTGTTAATACCCTGAAATGTTTGTTGTTCTGGTGTTTACTCTAACTATATATTTTATAATTATAAAGGCATATAATATTAATATAATTGACAAGTCATTCTATAAGATACACCTTCTGGTATATTTTTAAAAAGACACCTTTCAAAAAACTAATACTCAAAATAAACTAAGCAATGTTTGTATGTACAGCATGAAATATTTTCTCCATCCTGTACATGAGCCTTACGCTACACTCATGTAGGTGTAAAGTGAAGAGCAGCTCACCAGTAGGACATTCAACACCAGGTAATGAGGTGATCACATCAAAGGCTTTATCAATATCTGCAGAGAACTTAAGATAAAAGGAAAGATGGGAGAGGAATTCATGAGCATTAATTCACCTTGAGGAGTTCACTATTCACGTTTGATTATTTTATATGATGTGAATGTTAATTCTGACAGAAAAAAGTTTTTACCAATCCCTCATAGTCAAGATTTATCATGTACATAAAGTCATCTACAAAAGAAGATAAAACACGGCTCAATACACTAGAAGACCAAAATATGATACAATACATAATGCACATTGTATGTATGAATAATACAGTGAGGTTGCCTGTTTACTAAACGTACACATTACCTGTGACATTGGTTTGTGTCCTATACAGAAAGAAAGGGGAAAATTATTTGTTAATAAAAAGTGTGTTCTCGTTACACAAGTTAGCATAATGCACTGTAGTTATTTACTGTTATTTCCCCAAACACCTCTGTGACTTATGTGTCCACTACTTTAAGCCCAAGGTTTAATAGGAAAATCAAGTTTACTTAATCCATAACTGAATAAGCACAATGTCTGTATGAAAAAAATGGTGATAGAACATATGCTGACTCTTTTTTTGCTAAAAAAGTAAAAGAAAACAAAAAGGATTCCTTACCTCTTGTAAGAACATCCTTCTGGAAAATGCAAAAAAAAAAAAAAAAACGAGAGATATAAGCACAGCAGAGCACTGAGGTTGCGCTTGTATTTCTGATATTCTTCATAAATATAATCTTACTGGCTGATTTCCAATCATATTAATGCATACAAAGCAGACAGCATAAACACACACTTATTATTATCACTCTGCTGATTAGTTCATGAAATTGCCCTCTGCTGCTGCAACTGCCTTCACCACCTCAACCTGCTCCTTATACTTCAAATTGTTGGTTTGATTTATGTTCATGTATGTGTTTAATAATAGCTCTCTGTCTAATCCTGTGCTTATTTGAGAGCTCTCTCCGGGGTGGAAAGTACATTCAACCTTTACAGGGCACACAAATCGAGTTCTCACCAGTTCTTCTTTTGGTACAGAAAAGTGCCAGTCCCAGTAAGATAACACCCACAGTTACTCCAAAACCAGCCACAACTATTACCGACTTCCGAATCCATGTTTCTGTTTCGGAGGTCACAAACAAGTGTCAGTTTCACTTCTAACACAAAAGCAGTAAGACTGAATATCTTAAAGGGTATGCCTCACCAAATGCAAATTAAACTTGTAAATGAAGTTGTGAACATGATAATTATGCAAAACATTGATACGACAATATGACACTGAACAATGCATACTGCTCAAATCCATACTATGTGCCCTCTGTAGGCGAGGTGGTAACAATTTTAAACCTTAAAATATTAAATCTTGTATTTATTTATATTTTTTAATGTAATTTAATTAGTATGTGCTTTTTGCTCACCTGATGCTAGGATTAGTGACGTCTCAGGGAACAAGCTAGCTTTAGTGCTAGCGGTATTTAGTGTCAGAGCTATTGTAACAAATACAAAGTAAATAATATTAAAAACATACACAGCAATACATCTTGTTTTTTTAAAAGCACTCATACGAATCTCACCTGTAATATTGCCTGATGCCAGATTCATGAGAGTTGTGACTATAAAATAATTTAATAAATGTTAAAATTTAAATAATGTCCACTGAATGGCTTACTTCCCCATTTCTTGTCATTTTAAAGTTATCACTGTCTAATAAAGCCATTAGGTGCCCAAACTAACAGGACAAAGTCAGTGTGAATCATTGAGAAAATTAGTAGTTGTGTCACCTGATGCTGGTTTCACTGGTATTAGGGAAGAAGAGATAAAACTATCAGTGTTACTTGGTCCAACAGTCAGACCTGGTGAATAAAGAAAAATACATATAACAAAAATATTAACATATAATGTAATATACATATAATTAGTCAATAGTTAAAGTCACTTAATATGAAGCCTTACCGGTACTTCTGTTAGGTGATGTTTGTGTTGCAGGAGTTACAAGAGTGGAAGCATGAGGCCGGCTAACAGTCAGACCTGGTGAATACAGAAAAATACATAAAACAAAAATATTCATATAATGTAATATACATATAATTTGTCAATAATTAAAGTCACTTAATGTGAAGCCTTACCTATAATTCTGTTAGGTGATGTTTGTGTTGCAGGAGTTACAGGAGTGGAAGCATGAGGCCGGCTAACAGTCAGACCTGGTGAAGAAAACCTTTTTTAAACTTTGTGATTTGTGATAATTTTCTGTATTTCTATTAAATTAGATATCATGTCATACCTGTGGTCACAATAACTGCTGATCGTGTGAGACCCGAGTTTGATTCTTTTTCCACAATGTCTACAGTAAAAGGAAAGTGATTTGTGCTTGTCAGTTTTAATGTGTAAACATAATTTGTGCAGCAAAAACTCGGTCACTCAGTCGACAACTGCGTTCCAAACTGAAATATTTGGTGGCCGTGAGATATTGTATAGACATTCAGGGTCCCCAGAGGAGGAATCCAAATGACTCTGGTGATCCCTCAGCTTTTGCACGACCATGAAGTTGACATTGTTTTTGCATTTTAGTGAAGTTTCTTGAAAAACTATTGGACAGATTGCTGTGCTACAAATGTCCATGGTGACCAGCAGATGAACCCCAATGACCTGAGGAATGTGATACCTGGACTTTTCATCTAGTGCCACCAGCAGATTAGAAGTTTGAGCTTATCCTGTGAAATATCAAAACTATATCTTAAACTTTTAACCTGAGAGGAATCATGTGTGCAACCACATTATTCTGCAATTAGTCCAACTGGGCAATCTACTAAACAGGTACCTTCCTAAAGAAGAAAACACAACCTCCATTTGGCCATTACTGTCCTCAAAACCATCTCCTTGTACTTGGCCTGTTAACTTGATTCTGATTCTGATGTTACAGCGTCGTATTCAAACATTTCATATGACATGGTGGCACCTTTGATTAGACATCGGAGGGGGGGCAAAAATATTATAATTGATAGCCAAACCTACTGAAACAACATGTTAATTATTGCAGAAATCAGGTTGGTGATAAAGATGCCATCAGAAATCGAAATTCAACATAAAGAACGATATAGCCATAACTTTATTTGTCCTTTGTTTGATTACAAAATTAATATTTTCAATTATTCATATTCCCCACCCCTCTGCTGATGTCAGGAATATGGCAGTCAGTGTAGGATGAACTTGTGCTGGTGAAGGCAATTAAAGAAAGACTCAAATGTGGTGTTTTTCTGAATTTACACATTCAGTGGTAATTCACATTCATACATTTTAAGAAGTGTTGTGTCACACAGAGTAAACTCATTGTAGTTTCTGTATAAATGTCTTCTGTGACTTACAGGTTAAGTTGCCTCGATCACTACGAGGAGACAAAGAGCTGGATTCATTTCCCAAACTGTAATCACAGCTGGCATCACTCTGTTGATTTAAACTTAGACGTCTCAGCAAATCATCAATTTTGACGGTAAACTGGCAGAACCACTGATTGGTTGAGCTTCTTTTCTTCCAGATGGTTGTTGTTACACCTGGATCACTTTCTTCTCCAAAGTACAGGTTACATCTCGTATCATTATAAGCAGATCCAGGCAGAGAGCAAGTAAAGAGAACGTGTTCACCCTCAAAATGCTGAAGACTCATCTGTGGTTTTTGACCTACAGAAAGATTAATGAAAAGTTAAATACAATGTGACATTCTGCTACCAAGTACACTGTATGTTCTAGCAGTGTAGCAACACTTTCAATCAGTGTTCACATTAAAAGAAGTCCTACATTCATTACATTTTTACAATGAATTTCAACTTAACTCAAATGGTTTATAATGACAATTCTGTTTGTTATCTTGCAGCAGTATATGATAACATATGAAAGAATGGGAAAAGGAGTTACACACTGTGTATGGTGATGGAGGATATGTCACTGTGTGGAGATGGAGAATTTAAATCCCCAATCTTTACAGTGTAATAACATTTCACTTCAACCTCAGCAGGTGAACTCTGATGTGACATTAACAGCAGTTCAGTTCCTGTCAGTGTCTTCATACAAGGAAGGACTCTGACAGTTCCTCCGCTAACAGTGTAGAAATGACACTGAGACACAGAAACAGATGATGGAGCCTCACAGCTCAATGTGACTGAGTCTGTCTCTGTGATCACCAGTGAATTCACTTTCAGTTTAGGTGGATGAAGAGCTAAAGATTTAGAGGTGGACATATATTATATCAAAGACTGAATATGCACATTAGTATAGTATTCATATTGAGAAAACAGTGATAACAGCACAGCTGGACATGAAAGATAACAGATCAGAGACTGACCGTGAACTTGAATCTTGTGAAAGGAATCTGTTGGAAATATGTTTTAATGAGATAAATAGACTTAATAATAATAATTCATTCATAACTTCAATCAAGTATTATGTATGTTATATGGGAACATACAGGAAATTAGTTATGGACACTGCAGTTCCACAATAAGTTTACAAATAAACAGCACAGAGCAACAACTCACATAAAATCATCAAACAGAATGTGTAGTGTGGTATAACATGCTGATACATAATGACTCATATTATTATTATTATTATTATTATTATTATTATTATTATTATTATATTAATATCAATGTCAATGTAAGAGGTTTAACTTACACATGAGGAAGACAAACAACAGGTGTCCAGCCATGATGAAGCTGAATACTGAGACTGTCCATAAAGGTACTTTAGTGTCTGACTACAGACTCTGACATACTTATGTGTCATTTTGCGGAACTTCCTCCTGCTTGCAGGAAAACCACAGGTAGCATCAAGTTAATCATATAAACAGACTCACAGCCACAGAAGTACACCAACCTTACATCTACTAATAAATGATCTTCTTCTTCATCTACTTGCTTTGATACAACAAAAATAATCTACCAGTGTTGGTTCACTGATGTGTTCACACACATACTTAACATTGTCTGCTCTAAGCAAACATGCAGCTATTCCATTTTTGTCCTGACAATTCAACTCTGCAATCTGCATTACATTTCATACTTACAGAATTATACACGCTGTGTATTTTGCTGCAGTTGGAACTGAAGTATAGTCAATGTCCCTGATGTTTCCCACTGATTCTCTTACTTAGCTTGTACTGCCTGGGAAAAAACACAACTAAAACACAGAAGTGATATTAATAGTAGAGGAACTACGTGACCAACATTACCAAATAAAACAGAGAAAAAGGTCTGCGGTTTTCACTATTGCTCAAAAAGTAGAAACAACCAGAATGCAATGGGCCGTAGTGGAACAACAAATACTCTGGCTGTTCTACAACATTGTTGTAAATATGCCAGAATTAGAAATAGGCAAATGCTAATTTCTCTCTGTAATCCAGGTGTAAGAACTGTCAGCCTGAAATGCATAAAATCCAAAGACAAAGTTAAAACTGGTGGGTGATGTACTCTGAGTTTGGCAGTGCTTGGTTTTGGCTCATCTGTTTTCAAGCAGGTCACAAATTTCCTGGTATTTCTGATAAAGAGTAAATTAAATAGGAATTATTAGCAGGATTTCAACTGACTCTGCTGGCTCCCACCCAATCCAAAAATGGGCAAGGAGGTGAGTCATGGGTGGTTCTGAGGCGGGCTGGATGAACAGCAACCTGTGACAGCACCCACCTGTCACTCAAAGCTATTGCTTAACTTAAAGCATTAATATAATTTAACCAGGTGAGTTATATAACATTCACCACCCATACATTTGTCATGAATGGAAACATTTTAAATATAGAGAACCAGAGACCTGTTTGTGTACCAGGCTGTAAACATGTTTGTTTACTTCTGCTGTAAAGTTGGAGCATTTTAATTTGAGGCCTTTGTCACTTTTGTAGCCCGGCCTCAAGTGGTCGTTTGGGGAACTGCAGTTTTTCGTGCTTCATTTGCCAGCCACAGAGGTCGCCACTTGGGTAGTCCAAAACTAACTGAAAGTAATCAAGTTACATTACTTAAATACCGCCATATTTGGATTAGGTTACTACTGTAGTACTACTGTACTACTTAATTTCCGCCTATAATGCACGTGTGTTTTAACTGTAATCGTAAATTTCAAGATAGACAAAGGTATTGATGAAATGTTTGTCTGCAATAAATGTCTGCAAACATTCAGTCCCAGTTTGGTGACATTCTGACAATTATTTCCAGAGATAAATACGTACAAATAAGGCAGACACTGGTAAAGCCTAACGTTTCACTATTTCTGGTTTTGGTAAGAAACATCAGCCAAATAAACTGATTTTTGCTGTAAAATCTTTTTATACGGCCATCCATTTAAAAAACTGTTTTTTACAGTTCACCTCCAAAAAATTTAAAGTACTATTTTGCAATCTTGGACAAACCATATGGCCCATTTTGCTAAATGACAAGCATTTCTCTAAAAATTATTGTTTCAGATTAATTGGACTTTGGCGGGGTAAGAGGAGACATTAAGAAGTGTCTGTAGAAGGTGCATTTGGCGACGGTCCCTGCCGGCTTTAATTTACAGACACTAATAGATTGCACCTGATGCGATTGATTCACCTGGTCTCCTTTTACCGGAAGCAACCGCATAAAGACGGAGACGCTGGACGTGCAGGTGTAGCGTACTTTTAGACTTCACGTTATCTGTCGTTTCTTGTTTTTTTCTTTTTATATTTCATTCTCAGTAATGCCTCCCAAAAAGACAGCAGCAACAGCAACAGCAACAACAGCAACAGCAGCAGACTCTGCTGATCCGCCTGCGCCGTCCTCCACTGAAGCCCCGGTGGAAGAGAAGAAATCAGGTCTGAGAGCTGTAAATCAGAAAACTACTTTTTATTTAAATGTCATTATTAACCCAGCTGTTTAAAAAATATCAAATTCTCCAGAAGAATTCTCAAATATATATATATATATATATATATATAGAATTCTAATATATATATATATATATATATATATATATATATATATATATATATATATATATATATATATATATATATATATATATATATATATATATATATATATACACATGGGTACATGTGTGCACGTTTTCTCTCCAGGTGCTGCGGCGGTGCGCAAACTTGCAGCTCATCCCTCCACTGCAATTATGGTGAAAGAGGCACTGAAAGAGTTGGACTCCCGCAAAGGGGTTTCATATCAAGCGATACAGAATTACATTAAACAAAAGTACCCCTCGGTGGATTTGGTAAAGTTGAAGCACTTGGTCCGTAGAGCCCTTAAAAAGGGAATCGAAACTGGCACCTTGGTGCGGCCTGCAAACTCCAGTGCCACTACAGGCGCAACGGGGAAATTCAGGGTAAGAGGTCAACTCTACAGCTCCATCAAACTGGGTTAAATGTCATTAATCGTAATTATTTTTCATCTTCTGCCTAAAGCTTGCACCAAAAGTCAAGGAGGCAAAGCCAAAAACTGAGAACACTGATCCAAATGTGCAAAAAGTGCCAAAAGCAGCCAAGGATGGAGCCAAGAAGCCCAAAAAAGCAGGTATAAATATATAAATGAAAATGACTACAATCAGTAATAACCATATTAGGTGTCTGTTTTAATACCCTGTACCTTCTTAAAGGTGCTACCAAGAAGGACACTGCCATTGAACAGGACCAGTCACAGGAGGTGAGTGCTCTGAAGAACAGAGGTCGTATTTTCATATAGGTCTGCAGTCAAGTTGACAAGTTACACTTGTTTAAAACGTGGACAATATTTCCTCGATTTACATTTTTCTGGCCTTTTTTTTCCCCCCTCAGAATTAATTCCTGGTTGGTAATTGTAAAACCGTTAATCTAGAGAAACTCTGGCACATACAACAGTTTAATATAATAAATCTTTTATTCACATTGGCGTTTTGGGAATTTAAGGAATCAAAGCCTCCCAAAAAGTCAAAGAAAGATGAAGATGCTGTCGCTACCACAAAGGTTGCTCCAGCAAAGAAGCCAAAAGCTAAAAAAGTTGCAGAAAAAGAGGACGACGAGGAAGCGGCAAAACCAGCAGTCAAAACTAAAGCAGCAAAGGCCACCAAGGAGCCAAAGGCAGGAAAGGCGTCCCAGAGCAAGGCGGCTAAAGCGAGCAGTGAGGCCCCTGCTGCTAAAGCAACTGGGAAACGAGGGAAGAAGACTGCAGAGTAAATTTATCGTTCTTAACTGATGTTTTATACTGTTTTGTTTTGCAATAAAATCTTTATTTTTGAGCTCTAGTGTGCATTATAACTATTTGTAGTATAATGCTGTCTTTATATTGCCTGTTTGTATATACAGGGTTGGAGTCTCCCACTACAGCAGTACAAACTGCTATAGGTGATAGTGGCCTATTTCTGCCACCAAAAAGCCAGTCATAGGATGTTGTGTCATGTCCTGTGGAAAATGGTAGAAACATATTTAGTAGTGTCTTTACCACAATGCTTCCTGGTTTGCTTGAGTCCAAAATGTTTTATTGCTCTCCCTTTTCGGGGTGAGTGCAGATAAAGTAATAAAAATACTCTGAAATTGCATCCCAGTGCCTCCAGAAGACAACGACTACTAAAAGTAGTGCATAAAGCATGCAGCTGCGGGTTTTCATCAAAAGGACGACACAGGTGGACACAAATACTACGACTGCCATGACCACCAGCAGCAGCACATTAATCAGTTTTCCAAAAAGAGTCCGTGCTGTGCCGTTCTCCAAACCTTCAAGCTGCACCGCCTGCTGTTGCTGCTCCATCTTGAAGAGACGTGTCTGACAAGCCTCTAGCACCTCCTACAGTTTAGAGACACAACTGTCAGTGACGGTGCTGCAATGACTAAAGAGAATTCCACACATACAGCACCACTCGTTTTATTTATAGACCTTTTTCATGGCAGATGTGTAATAATTTTGCCTTTTTTTGCTATCAACATTTCTGCTGTGAAAATGATACTAAGCTTACGTGAATATCTGTTGCAATTTCATTGGAATGATGAGCAATCTTCTCCTCCATGCCAGCTAGTTCCTCTTTCAAGTTGAAAATTTCATTCTGGTGCATTTCTGTCAAGTCATTGAACTGTTCCTCTAGACGTTCCCACCTGCAAAATAGTGAGTACAGTACATCAGGAACAGCACCGGTTCCCTCTTCAACCCCACAAAGTACTGCAGTAAAGCTACCTGTATTGTTCCTCTTGCAGGGCCTGCACATTCACTGTATACTCTCTTTGGTGGTAGGATTTTAAGTTTTCAAAGCAATCCTCAAGTCGACCTTGGTTTTCCTGGAGCTCTTGGACCTCATGGAGTATGGCATCAAAGCCTGAGGCCTGGGTATGATCGGGCGTGTTGTCACTGGAGCTAGGTGCTCCTGCTCCCACAGTAGCAGTCAGACAGTAATCATCACCGTCATGCTTCGGGCTGGACTGCGGCTGCCCTGTCCTAAGGGTCCTCGTTCCCCCAACACCCTCATATCCCTGGGTTTTCTCCAAGTTCTTCAGGGCTGCAGTGTTATCAGTGCTGCCAAACATTTGAGGGAGGAGATTTTGCTCAGCTTGGACACCACAGCTCCAGCTCCAGAGTGAGAGCCACCTGTAATGTGGGCAGGGCTGGGTTAGGCTGCTACTCACTGCTGTTGTAATATAATCCACCCCATGAGACCCCTTACCTCTGGTTTAAGTGTGAGATTACAACCTTGACTCCTTTCCTCCAGTGATTCAGATGAGATGGATATAAAACATGTGGCCTTCTGGCCCAAACAAATGACATTAAAAGATTCTTGTAGGTACCAGGAAAGTACACACCTTTACTCCTCAATGTAACATTAACCTTTTTCAACCAAAGAAGCTCTTATAAAACTGCTGTGGGTTCAGAGAGCACTGTTGAAATGTCAAATTTACTAAATATATATATTTTTATCCACTGAATCCAACTCTGCTTTCCAGAGGAGGCAGAGACAATTTCCATGACCACAAACCTCTAGAAGTAGGTTAAATGAGAGAATGCTGTTTTGGTAAATTGGCTTTAGAAACTTCGTGATATTGGTAGAAATGCTACTCACCTGTCTTCAAATGAAGTTGTCTATTTCAGTGACTTCCAACATGCCACGTCGATCATATCGATCATATCGATCATGTTCACAGATTTAATTTATCCTCTTAAACCCGATCAGATTTTATCCACCTTATAATTAGCGTCTGGCGGTAACAGTGAACAGTCACACCACTGCTGTGAACACAATGGACAGTCTGTAACCACATTAACAGCCACACATATGCTAATGTTTCTCATTACTGCTAGCACTCGTTAGCTAACGTTCAACCGACGGCTAACAGATTGTCATGTTGCTTAGCAACGGTAAAATATTCCGACAAAGAGCTCACACTCAGATTAAGTTTGAGAGTCTCTGATATTGATATAACATCTGTACTTTTTAAATGGTAAGAGATGTTTGAGTGCTAGTTAAAGTCAATGTGGACACTGTCAACAAAGGGAAAACTGGATGGAGTCAGCTGGGTCAACCCATATCAAAGGGCTTTCTAACAACTTCACCTCCAAGGTGTATGGAGAATGGAAATAGTGTAGGCCTGTAGTCAACACACAGATGATTTTAATTATTGTGCCTGATTATAGACCTCTGCTCCACATAACTCACCTGTTAGCAAATAGTTGCTCCTTTAGTTTACACATCCAGTATAATGTTCTGCATCCTACCCACAGTTACCCACCACACACACCCAAGATGAAAAGGATCAAATACACTGACAGACCTTCACAACACACATTTTGGCCAGTTGTTGCAGGAAAAGCATAAGTGTAATTAATAAGAGTGGGTGGATAAATTCCTTTAGGTGACCCAGTAAGCTATTCCAGTGAGCCAACATAATACCAGGGCCGCCTCTAAATGTGAGCATTGATCTTATTTATTACACCTCTGCTTCTCCTGCTGAGACAAAATGTCCACTGTGGAAGAGGTTAGTGTCCTCCCTCATGAACCCTAATACACTTAAAGATGTTGCTGGTATTAGGAGGAATGAGCGGTTTCAGTAAAACTAAACAAAAAAAATTACATATCTGCAAGATAATGTATTTACTACTGTCAGAAACTAATGTTTATGTCTGTGTTAACCCTCTATGTTAATGTTTCCTAGATTTCAGGGGTATTACTGGTACAAGCTGACTATGTTCTTAAACCTGTAAGACCACCACTACTACTCTCTACAGTACAGCATCATACTCCCAACATATAGCAAATGAACCAATGTGACCCCAACAGGATGCAATAATGTAATATGATGTACAATTCAGTGACTTCATGACATTGAAGACAAATACAAGTTCACCTTTTAAAACAGCAAATTTATTTGTCTTTAAAAAATAAAAAAATCAACTAAAAAGTATTACTATTTCATTGTCACTAATAGAAACAGTACGGAAGCACTGAGTCTTTGAGCACTTTAACTGCTCTTCAAGTATGTTAATTAAGTTCATAGATTATTCTTCTGCAGTGGAAAATCCACCAGAATAGCAGGATCCAGTTGGCCCGGAGGGCAGGGTCACAACTTTAAATAAATGTTCTTGATAGTAATATCCTGGTTGTGGCAGAACCAGTGTTATTGACTTCACACATCCAAGAGAAACTGTTAGATCCAGTGACAAGTCTGTTTCCAGAGCAATGCAGCTGCTGTGCAAGCACCCCATTCTACAGGGTGTAGTGAGCAGGTAGAGGAAGAGTTGGTCACACAAGCTGAAATTTCAAGAGTGAGTAAAGGGGAAAGAAAGAGCAGACTGAAAAAACCAGGGTGGCAAGACCAGAAGAGGAAGAATATACAAAAAGAGAATGTGGACAACTAAATCAGCAGAACACCGTCGGCTCATTACAGTTAAAAGAAAATAAAAAGCCATCAATCAGTTGTATTAAAAAATAGCAGTGACTTCAAAACAATACCACTTGAATCAGCTCAAAAGTAATAAAACTCTGAATTACAATTTCTTCAGTGGGGAAACAATGCAAAGTTTTCCACATGTAAACAAATTCACTCAGAAGAGAGAAATCAACTGTGCAGTTCTCTCAGCCCCTCCTTCAACTACGCCCAATTCACCCTTTTACAGTATGTGCTTGTGCCACAATTGCACCAATGATAGCAAGTCAATACCACCCATCCGGCCGTTTCACAACATTATTCTCTGTTTTATTCTTCTCAAAACACATTTCAGAAAGTGATAAAGTGACAAACCTCTGATGCAATCCTCCTGAGTGTTTTGAAAGGCTGCTAAAGAGGAAGAAAAGGTAGGACTGTTGAGATTCAACTCCCTGTATGAGTCAGTATCCTCCCTCTATCAGCCCCAAAACCTCTGTCCCTTCATCATTTAAATACGCCTCTCCAAGCCGGTCATCTGGGGTGCAAAAGAAAGTGATGCAGATACTCTGAAATAGCATCCCAGTGCCTCCAGAGGAAGGCCAAGAGGATCACGAGGAGCAGCGTGGAAAGCGTGCGGCTCCGTGTTTTCATCAAGGGGACGACACAGTTAGCCACTGTGGACACAAACACCAAAAGGACTGCCATAACAGCTAGCAGCACATTGATTAGTTTTCCAAGAAGAGTCCGTGCTGTGGCGTTCTCCAAACCCTCAAGCTGCACCACCTGCTGTTGCTGCTGCTGCAGCTCCATCTTGGAGATACGAGTCTGACATGCTTCCAGCGCCTCCTACGGGTCGAGAGATAAAACTGTCAGTGGGATAGCTCTGATAACAAAGCAGAGACATGTTCATTTTGCTGACACTTACCTGAATGTCCCTCGCTCTTTCATAAGACTGATAAGCAATCTTCTCCTCCATGCTGGCTAGTTCCTGTTTCAAGTTCAGAATTTCATTCTGGTGGAGTTCTGTCAAGTCATTGAGCTGTTCCTCTAAACGTTCACACCTACAAAATCGTGACAATGACAGTACATCACAAACAGGACATTGTCTTTTTACCCATATAGACCTACTCTACTACAGTGTATAAGATATGGTACCTGTATCGTTCCTCTTGCAGGGCCTCCATGATCATCGTGTAGTCTCGCTGATAATGGGCTTTCAAATTATCGAAGGACTCCTCCAGTCGACCTTGGTTTTCCCGGAGCTCTTGGATCTCATGTAGTATAGCATCAAAGCCAGAGGCCTGGGCATGATCCAAGGTATTGCCCTTGGAGCTAGGGGGTCCTCCAGGGGCTCCAGTGGTGCTGTTTGCTCCCGCAGAGCCAGAAGTTGCACTAGAACAGTCGTCATCACTGCCATACTTTGGGCTTGGCTGCAACTGTCCCATTCCAAGGCCTCTCGTTCCCCCAGGACCCACACCTTCGTCGCCCTGGGTTTCATCCAAGGAGTCTTTCAGAGCTGCAATGTTATCGGCACTGCCAAACTTGTTGCGGATGAGGGAGGCGATTTCTCTCGGCTTAGACACGACAGCTCCAGCTGCAGAGTGAGTGGCTTGAGAGAAACTGGAGAGACCGCCTGTGACCTGTAATGAGCGAGATCAGGACAATAATTAGGCTGCCTCACTTTGCCATTTCCAAGTTCAAACTGGAACTGAAACTTAACTGGATGACATCCCGTTTAAGCACGGTTAACTGTTGCAACAAGCAGATGATGTCAAAGTACAATGTATTCAGGGAAGAAATGTCCAGTAGGCAATGGGTGTGGCTGTTGTAATGTTCATGTCAGTCAGTATTCAGCTGACAGTATTCAGGTTCGAATATGCTTCCCCATCGCTGACAGTCAATTGGCTAACAAATCTCTTTGCATACATTTGCAGAACTTGTGGATATAAAGCCCATACTGCACTGGCAAAATAAAATACACTGCCATACCAATTAACCTACTGTGGGAGCCATTTGTTATTTATGTGTATGCATTTCTACCTCTTCGCACTAGGGTGGAGTGATTTGTGTAGAAACTGCAAGATGTGCACTGAAAGTGTTCTGTTAAGCTGTGATAGAGGTTTATGATATCAATTTGAAGTGGTTTTACACACACATATTCTAGTGAGTAACGGAAGCTAGTAGCCATGATATGCTAATAATTGTACAGGTACAGATAGTGAGAAATTACCCGTGTGTCACAAAACATCAACTAGCAGCACAGGTTAAAAACACAGAAACTATTATACGTAACATCAGCATTAAATATTTAAAAAGTCAGGTTACCATGAAATTCCTGCAGTTTGACTGCTGCACAAGGGGAGCACAGTTGCCCGGTTATTATATAGACCTCAACAGTAAAGATATTACACATGTGATGCCATGTACAGACTGCGGCAATACATTTCCCTTGAAAGGACAATAATGAAGTCATCCATTTTGAACATTAAAATATATAAAACCCCTGTTGTTTCATCAGATTATACCAACCACTTATATGCCAGATGTATTAGTGTAAACATTAATGCAATTAACTGCAGTGTAAACAGGCAAAACCTCCCTCACAACAAACAGGATTTAATTGTATAATTTAACATGTTGCATTTCCCATCCAAAGCCATTGTTTTAGTTAATAAAATTACATAAAGATTTTTAAATAATGCTGACAGAGCGGTTTTTGGTAACAAACCAACATTGAAGGCACTAGGAAAGCACACACCTTGGCTCCAACATCTTTCAGCCCCTGGTGCATGTCTCGGAAAACATCTTTGGGCTGGCGAGGGATGCCGTTGTGCTCCACCTCTCGAAGCTTCCGGTGGTAGTGCTCCAGCTTCCTCTGCAGTTGCTGGATACTCTGAGCAGACTTTTGGTTCTTCTTCTCAAACACCTGTTTGATGCGTGCACTCTGCTGTTTGTCGGCATTATTAGCGAGTTTCAGGTATTCAGCCACGTTGTCGTCGCGGGCGGTTTGTTCAATTTTGATTTGTTCAGTGAGCTTGAGGATCTTCTGTTGTAGTTGGGCAATGGCCTGCTTAGTTCGCTGGGGGTCTGGGGTACTATCAACTACATCATACCCATCTGCACCGTAGGGGAGGGCATTTGGTGACACGGCAGGACCCGATCCATCATAACGATCCAGCTGTTTAAAAAAAAGTGAGCAGGAAAAAAAAAAAAAAAAGGTAGAAAATTGTGTTTATCATGTTGTCTCTTTCTGTAGTGTTAAAGGTTTTGTCTAATGAGAACACTTACAGTATCTAATGTGAACACAGTTTACAAAGACAGTGTTTTTTGTTAGGAAAAACAACATTTGAATAACTGTGGTAATATATATGTCACTACTCTTTCACAACAGCAGATGGCGCCTGTAAAACAAACGCTCCCTTTTGACTGTCACTTTATGGCTCCAGCTCAAGGAGTCGTAGGTGGAAGATGCAGCGACTGTTGTGAGGATCAAAGGCTCAATCGCCTAAGAACTGAGGATTGCGGAGTTATAACACTGATTTTAATTTTACCCTCAGGAGGAAGCCCAATGCAAATGACTTGAGGCCAGAAACAGTCATCAGAGGTTTAAACGGAGGCAACAAGATGAGAAGTAAATGTGAAATCTTGGTAATTAACCCTGAGAGCTACCAGCTCTTATGATGGAAACAAGCAAGCTGTTGAGCCCCCTTGTATTCAGATTATTAAGTATGTCTAAACTAGCTTAAGTTTGAACCACAAAGTGTTGACTGACAACTTACAGTACAGTAATATTTAGTTTGAAAATGTAAACTGTTAACTGTTACAGTAATGTCAGGAATCAAGATACTCAATATTGGAAACCATATGGTTGTGTTAAAGGACACTGACCTGATAAATCTGGAAAAACCTAAACTATCTTGGGTTTGTATCTTGTATCTGTCTCTGTATCTGTGCTGTTGTAATCTATGTAACAATCATTGTCCCTCAGTTTTACTTTACAACAGCACTGAAACCAGTTATTTAACCAATTATTTTAACCAACACCTAGTCAATGATCACAAGGCAGAAAACCATGCAACACTGACAGGCGATTAGAAAGGTCTACTATTGAATAACTCTCCAGTCCCTTTACAGAGGGGTTTGGTAATACACCAGCATTACCAATAAATGCCCTATTTGATTGCATGCATTTTTACTTATCCAACACTAATACAAACAATTATGCAGTAAAAACAGGCTCTTGGATCATTTATTTTATATCTGTATTAGTTCAAAGGGCTACCAAGAATGGTGGCAAAACAACAAAGAGACAACCGGTGTTCCACAGAGGATAAATCAACCTCAGCTAAGAACTGTCAATTATAAATAACATGTCATAAGGTTTTATAAGATGAGCAGGAACAGGTGGCTCATGACGTCTGTTGATAAACTTGATTCCAGCTTCCAATGAGGTTCTGAGAGCTGGAAAAAAATGTGACACGGCCCCTTGTTTAAATATGTCTACTTTCTCCAATTTGTTATTCTACAGATTCTTCTGACATACTGCTGACAGATAGCCCACTACTTCAATAGCCCTACGGCGTGTAAACTATTTTTATCACCTGCTCTTGTAACATTTCAAGTTTTAGACATTGTTCATTTTTTAATAAAACCATATTTCATATATTGCGTGTTTTCTTATTTTCTTTGAATCTGTTATGTCATAGGCACATATACTCCTCCTGCTTTTAGTTTCACAGGTAATAAAACTGAACTTTGTTTCCAACATTGTTTTAACATTCAGTGTAAAAACAACCAAAAAAACAATCCTACAAGTTTGAGTTTGTTTATCCCTGCAAGCTTGATCTGACCTGAAGTACTTTCAGAGAGAGCAAAAGCTAAATTTAGAAAGGCTTAAAGCACATAGTGACCAACCACTCAAAGGCAATCTCTGACCTTCCACCGCTGACAGCTCATCTCCCCATTCACCAGATCATCCAGGCAAAGCTAAACCATTAACAGCCTTTTAACACATTTGCACAATTCACTTAGTTTTGACATTCTTGCACAGATATTAGTGCTCGACTGTTTTAACTTTTATTTTTGAAGCCGGGTTGCAAACAAATACATTTGTTTCCTCATGAGTGCACAGTGTCTCTTTGTATTCCGATTTTAATGGGAATGTTTTATGTCCTGGAGGCAAGGTTTCTATGAATACAAAATTTTAGGATCTAATTCCGTAAAATAATGCCATACTTTGTTATATGAGTTGGACTATGCGTGCTCTCGGACAGATTTTATGAAAAAAACGATTTATGTTTATTAAACAGTTTTTCCCTGTGCGTCCACCTTCAACCCACCAAATCTATTTGTACATGAATAGGGGAGGTTGTCAGAGTTGCAGTGATACAAGAATGTTAGTGGGACATTATGAATAACGTATACCGATGTATTGATTGCAAAAGGAAAAAAGCTCATAGTGGTGTATTTTGTCACTGCTATGGTTTTTAAATTTTATGACTTTTATTTGAGACTAACAGGTTCTGAGTTTGGTTTTCATCATGCTTTGGAAGAAATGTGTTGCCAGGGAGTCAGTGGAGTTAACTGTTGAGCACTGTTTTTTGCCTAACATTTGTTTACAAATTTGCATCCTGGAAGGTGATTTTCCATAGGCTATATTAGCAATTCCTGGACCTTGAGTGTACAGACAATTATTTTTGATACGGAAGAAATCGTGACAAATGAGGAAGTTCTGAAGTTAAAGTTTTTCTGAGCATATTGAGACAGACATTGGAGATATCAATATATCTGTAAAGTGCAAGTCACACTGATTTCAGGAGTTTATGCATCATATCTGTGTGTCCAGATCTGACTGCATTCTGAGTTTTGACTTGTTGGAGGGAAAGCCAAGTGTTTTTTTTTTTCCTCCTCCTCCTCCATGTTCCCCCCACACACACTGGAACTCTAAGCAATTGCATATGTAACCTACTGTACTGATCACAAATCTCCCAGTGCATCATTTGCATATGTAGACTGTAAGCTTGTATCAAAGCTGGAATTTCTTCCTTCTCTGTAAAGAATGTACTGTTGGCATAACCACTTTTCTCTTGGACCCCTTGACTGAGACGCTCACCTTGTCAGGCTCCTCAGTTGAGTGGTAACCAGAGGTCAGCAGCATGTCAGCTAGGGCTGGGCTGCTGGGTGTATCTGTGGTCGAAGAGGAGCGTGGGCGTCCAGCCTGCAGCAGGGCCTCATGGGTGCTGCGCCGGTGGATCTGTGGGCTACCTTTCTGGGGAGGATCCCCAGTGCCCCCCACCTTGCTTCGCCGGCTCTGCAGGCTGGTGCCTCGCTTCATTATCGGTGGAGCCCCTCGGATCTGCTGCAGAACACGGCTCAGAGCTGCGGGAGGGGCGGAAGCGGCAAGGTTGTCAGAATCCAAAGGGACGGCCGAGGAGGCAGGAGCGTCCCCTACTTCTGACCCTACATCAGTGGGTTCGGAGGGAGGGGCGCCTGTGCAGGACGAGACGGAGTCATGTGGGGAAACGGAGGAGCGTCGGCGCTGTGGCTGGAAGAAGTGCTTCAGGCCATGGCCCAACGCTCCCATGTTCTCCAGGGCATTATGGGTGATTTTGGACAAGCCGTGCTCTGACTCCGACGCCCTCCTGCCGACCTCCGGCTCCGCTCGGCCTCCTGCATCCGGCTCCTCTGGACTCTGCTCACTACTACCCTGATCCATCAGAGACCTCCAGTTTCACAGTGAGGTTCTACTAGGGGGTGCAGGGGACTAGCTATGCCCCGTCGACACCCCCCCACCTCCCCCCCCCTCCCGAGAGACTGGTCGAAAGCCGGGAAGCAGAGGGGATGGCACTCAGTTGGGCCTTTTGAGTGCGCATGCATCTGTGGCTTGGTTCAATGTCATGCTTGTCTACCACAAAAAGGAAAATAAAATGAATTATGACATGCAGCAGTGAGTGATGAACATAATAAGCAGCAGCAGAATATAAAACACTAAGCAACATAAACTGGGTTGACAGACACTTTTTTGCAGTTAAATATAAGCTAATTTTATTTGTTGCAAACTATAGACCTTTTTCACAGCAACCATTTTACATGACATAGTAGGGTAAACACATGTGTTACCAATAATAGTAATTAAGGTTCTATTCCATTTCCAGTGAGCCAACATGCACAATAGCAGCACACTGACTCTGTTTGACAACAGAAGCTTAATATTGTTGGTAACACCTGTGTTTACAATACTATTTGATGGCAAAATGGCTGCTGTGAAAAAGGTCTATTTGTGATTAGAATAATAATATTTCCTCCCTGCTGAAGGAAAACATTAGGTATCCATTTTAACTAAACAGCATGTGGCATGTCTGACAGTGCCAACCCAGTAATGCAAAAAACACAAAGGCTACAAAATAAGCAAGCTTTGAGAACAGTTTCTGAAATGTCAAAGTTTGTTACATTGCACATGTTGAAGGTCGATGCCTATGGCGGTTTTTGAAATCACTTTCCATTGTTTATTTCTGGGCATTCGACCCCCAACTGTACAAAAGCCCTAATGAAAGTTGAATAATTACATTTCAGAAAGTATTCATTATGGAAATTAATAATCAACATAATTGAGAGTGCTCGGATGATGCTAACAAAGAGACTACAGAGTGTGAAAAACGTAAATTAAAAAAAATTCTAAATGGACAGCGATTGTGATCGAATTCTCAACTGATTAAAAAGGTGTTCAGCGATCCACGGCAGTCTCCTTTTTGCATCTCATTTTATGACCAGGCTAAATCCTGTAATGTAAAAGGACCAAACCAGGTCTCTGGCTCGCAGATGACAGGTTATATAAAAGCCCTTTGGTTTACCAACATGTAATGAGACAGTGACAAAGAAAGCAAGAGAGGAGTTGTGATAGTGTGTGACAGAAAGCTTACCATCAGCCCGGCTTCTCCTCTACAGACTCACAACTCAGGATTGGCTAAATAAAACAGATATAAACAAAAGAACATAAATAATATGGGAAGGGGTTCAAAATAGGCACACTGTAGCATCATATAGAAATAAACAGACTTTAAAACACAAACTTTCCCTCAGTAGTAACTGGTAATAATGGATATGTAAAGGAATGCTACACCAGCTGAGTGACTTAAAAGATTCTAATATGCTGACCATAAGAGATTATCAACGACCTAATGGACCTGTACATTACAGCATACATGACATGACAACATTAACATGACAGCAGCTCTAGGCACTGTATCAAAGTAATAATACTAGTTCTACATAGAAACAATCAAAACACGGCATGAACACTGCTCAAAGGAGCTGTCACTGCACAACTTATCTGCGGCATATACAAATGGCGACGGAGGACGTTAGCCTGAGAAAGATCCCTCCTGTCGTCCTTTTCTCCTCGGTCAGCTAGCCAACAAATGTGCAAACTGTCCCTTCAGTACAAATGTTTAGTATTTTATGGAAGTTGATCAAATCTTAAACCAATTGAATCCTTTTTTTAAATCCAGTACTTTAACTTCAGTGTTCAAGGATACTATTTCTAATGCCAGAAACTGACACGGCTCATCTGGTCCTGCGATGCCTCTGCATGCTTGAATCACATGGAATCAAAATACTGGCTGTCCCTGGTTGCAGTGCTCAATGTGAATTGAAAAGGTTTGATTTGTTTGCACAGCATCTGCTCACATACTTCGAAAATAACCTGAATTACACCCGTAACCAAGCATGAAAAACACAATTTCTATAGACTTTTTCAGTACATCATCAATTGTACCGCTCTTGCCTTTTTCATAAAAGACCAGAATACAATTACTTTTTTTGTTTGTTTTTTTTCAGCATGCAGACAGGCTGTTTTACAAGGCATAGTGAGACCCATGTTTCTCTAAAGGAAATATCCAAAGCCTAAAGTGATGGCTCTGACTATGTAGTACATGGATTATTTTGCAGACAAACAGAAAAATAATTCCACAAGTCAGCAGAGCTACAAAGTATCACTTTCAAGCCAGCAGCACAATTTAGCACCAGAAACCCTATGAAATGCTCCATTAGTGATACAGTGACTCATTACTGCTGGTCCTGCTGTTACATCTGCAGTGTTGGATAAGGAAGCACTTTGTTAAAGGGTAGGTGGTAGTGAATAGTGCAATAACGAGAGTATCCTTAGAAATTCCTGCTGATCAACATGCTTGAACAAAGGCCGTTTGGTGGTTAAATTCTATTAGCGTTCACTTCCTGTACTAAATGAAAAGATCAATAGATTATTTAGCATCCCTCCCTCTGTAAAGGATATCTATAAAAGGCACTTGGATATACACGTCATGATGTTATGGCTATCAATTATCGTGTATAGCTTATGTAACTATGTAGCTAACTGAGTTAACGCTGAGCTTGATCTACGGATGCGTCCAATCTTGTTACTCTTCAGCCACACTTCTCTGATCATTAGGCAGAGACACAACCATTCAGTGATTCAGTGCAAACGTATTGCTTTGTAAGCTTGAAACTTAAGACATAGGAGAAAAACTTCCACAGAGACACGGAACTATATCCTTCATATACAATGAAAGTATAACGGCATCCGACTCCTCTAGGCAAAGGGCGAAGTGTTCTCTCTGAAGTGGGTCAGCCAACACTCGCCTATCACTCTCTGTACATGCAGTGCTCCAAGGTCACACCATCTACAGAGTGTTGTGCATGTCTAGCAGCATTTAGGCTTTTACTTGTGTTAACCATTTGTTTATTTTAAGCATTGAAAGTGGGCTGACAATGATGTATATTCTGCAGCTCCTTTGCATTTTCTGACATTGCGTTAGCTGCTTATACTGAAAACTGGAGTCCATAGTGTCTTCTTGCAGCAGGTAACACAACATGTTTTATTATTTAAACATGGAGAATATTTCTTGAGACTGACATTCCTTTCCCCATCCTATAAGTAATGTGATACCGGTAGTATTGTTCAGTGAAAATCTGTAAAAAGCAAAAACAATAGGAGGGACACACGACTCAGCAGAGTCCATGCGCAGATATACATACCTTCAGATGTGGTCATCAGCAGATGATTTGTGGATCTATTAACACAGGAAAAGGCTTAATCCAAGCGAATTTCCCAGCACTGCTTCCTCTGGCTAATTGTTACAAATGGAAATCTGGTGGGATAGCTGTCAAACTTTAGTCAGCTGTTTCCATGGACATTTAGAAAAATCACATGCTGCAAAGAAAAACAAAAAAACAGAAACAAAGCGAGCATGAGAAACAGTCTGTTAGGACAGTTCGGACATTTTTAAACTGACTTCAGACACACAGGTGACATTTTTACTGCTAGAGTTGTTAAATGTGTTTGTACAGCAGAGAGTTTTCTTTAAAGAATAAAACGGTAGTGCTGCAAAGTCTACGTTAGCACTCCCAGTGAAGAACGTGCCACGTAACCAGTGGAGACTTTGACCGTTACTGGCAGGGTAGAGTAATGATTGTGGACCACAGGCAGAACAACTGCTGCACTCATGACAGTAATGGGGACCCAAGTAAATGAGTAGGGTACTCAACCCGTCAATCGTTTCACTTTATCGATTCCAATTCTGCTGATTCTTATAGATTCCAATAAGGTTACAAAAAGAAGAAAAGTCAAATGTTTAGATGCTTATTATGTTAAGTTACATTTTGTGTAGCGCTTCCTGCACCATGTCTCCCTTATTTTTATGGCTTCACTGAAGTTTCTACCCAACAGAGATCACATAATAATGTCCCCACAAATTAACTTAAAATGAATGAATGCTATACAAGCTATCTGTGCTCATCATGACAGCGTTTAAGGTTTAACCTCAGTATTAGTCAGCCATCATATCAGTTTGCCACTGTTTATAAACCGGTTGCCCTGACTTTATTGCTGGGCCTGTCGCCATCAATCTAAATAAATTCAAAATGTAAATCAATAGTCCACACACAGGGAGAGCAAAGCAGAGAAACAGGACAACAGTTTTCATTGATCTAGCCGACATTTAGACTGTCAGAGCTTCACATCAGATGTTATTTTAAGAAACCTCACGTCCCACTTGTTACCAATGGTTTTGTGATGCTTTATGATACTTAAAGAATTAAAATGTATATAGTAGACTTGAAAGAAAACATAGATTGGATGCATTCTATGTGACCTTCCTAGTGCAGAATCCAACTAATAAAACAAAATCTCCAATTAAACAAAAAAAGGAATCTATAAAACGTCACGTTGTTGATCTAATATTTAAACCCAGGACAGGCATGAATTTTCCCATAATGCCCTGAAGTTTTGCAGTTGGTGGAGAGCAGCTGCAGAGCTAATATGTTAACAATAACAACTTTATAAAGAAATAATACAATAAACACACAAATCTGTATTTCCAGGTAGTACTGCCATTATTCTGAGGCCAAGTGGCAACAAATAAATTATAATAACAATCAATGAATGCAGGTCAACAGTGAAAACCCCACAGGGTACTTTTAGATAAGTTAAAATAACCAAATCTACTTCCTCCATATCTGCTAAGGTTACATGTTTACATGCCATAGCGTTTAATGTCTCTCCAAATTATTAATCTAACCCCAAACTGTGTCTGTAATGCAGTCCCCTGTAAGATCTGATATTTAGGGCTAATAACATTTTCAGTGATTTTCCACCCAAACACAAAAGTGCAGACATTTATTTTACAATGACCTCATACAAGTCTGTGGTTTCATAACATAAAAGGCTAAATTAAAAACACGTGTTTTAATTTTGTACAGCACAGGCCTCCAAGGCCTTTTAACTTAATTAATCGTCTAATGGTAATTAATAGTGCCGAACAGCCTCTCGGGAAAATCTGCAGGACATTAACCATTTGCCTGACTTATACAGAGCCATAAGTGAGATAAAACAACCCAACGTGGCGATTAAACAACAACAAAAAAAAAAGGTAAACAACAGTGTAACAGTATGAACACAAACATGGCTCTCGGCATTAATACGGATACAGTGGCACGTACATTCCGATGAGATCATCACTAACCCCTTCAGTAACAACAAACAATGACCCAACAATAAAGTTCCCTTATTTAAATTACACTATTACGCCAAACAAAAAACCCTCCATTAAACACACACACACACACACACACACACACACACACACACACACACACACACACACACCTAACGTTAGAGAGTTTACTTTCCGCACACAGCTGATGTTACTTCATTAAATCCCCTCAGTAGGTTACAGGTGCATTCGGTGTCATTACATGTAACGTTAGGGTAATAGTAGTAACGCGTATGCTTAAAAATCCCGAAGCAGATATTGAGACAGAGTAAATCATGTGCACGGACACCGGCGCTGTACTGATGAGTAACGTTATTAACGTACTGCAAATAGTCTGAGCCCAACGGTTTAACGTTAGCTAGAGATAAGAAGAGGATGAAATTAGCAGCTCGCTAGCCAACGTCCGTAGGCCTATCCTTTAAAAACCCTCAACTTTAGGATATAGCTGCTCAAAACATCAATGTAGTTTATCGTTTTATTTCGGCCTGGTGCTAACCATTGCGGTAGATAAAGTCAGAATACATCCTTGCCCCCGGTTTGATGGCTCGTCTGCTCCTCTTGTAGCTAGCAGCGCAAGCTAACGTGGTGCGCCGGAGGGTGTTCATTTTACTACACGGTACACACCGGTGGTGCTGCCGAGCGGGCCGAGGTCATAGTGTTACGTTAGGTGTGGGCACATTAAGGGTGTGTATACTTGATATTTAGCATTCATAGCATAACTCAGATGTCTATTAGCTGTCTGTATCACCACAGACAAAATTAAAATGCGGTTTGGTTACCCGCCCTCCCGGTTACGTGAGCTCACCTGAAGCCCTGGAAATGCCAGGCTTTACTGCACCTTGTGCGGTGCCCTTGGTCTTATAGTTTTCCAGGAATACACAAATAAAGCATTTTAAAAAAAAAAAACTTTAAAATTCTCAGAGCAGTTCCTGTTGTTTTTAGCTGCTCGGAGTATTTTCTTCAAAAGGATGGATATAACAGGTTTCCATTAAAAAGGCACCGCCATGTGTTACAAATAATGTATGGTGTTAGACATTATCAGTGCTATAGCTGCTAATAAACATGCTCTGCTTTTACATTCAACTTCAATGTCCAGCCCCAACATTACTGATTTGAATGAATAAATCCGACGGTGGCCACCATGTAATATGATACAGAAGCTTCCCAGTAAAAACCCGGCGGATCACTGAAGTCTCACTCACTGTCACATTGCTGACTGCAGATATAGAGTCATACATGATTGTGCCATCAGTTTAAAGTCATTATCAGCTCTACTCTCAGGTATGATCATTAAAAAAAAAAAAAAAAAATGAAACTCCCATATTTATGGCATGCTATCCTGTCCAACAAGACAACACCGCCATAAAACGGCCCTCGCAGGTGTAAAGGGCTCGAACATACCGGGTGAATTTAGATTGGAGGTATTGGGTTAGCCATCTGTCACACAGCCTACTCCCACAAGGCTTTCTTAATCACACCTTGGAGTCTTGTATTTCATGGTGGCGCATTTAGTCCTCCAGTGTAGGTTTGCAGTACTTTAGAGTCCCCCCCTCCCCTCCCCTCTTTGCATTAGTAATAACCAGTGCTTAACTGAGCACAGAGCCAGGACTGTCACCTAAAATAAAATAAAACAAACATATCCTGTTTTGTGAAAATACCATTGCATCCGGCCTGGGTGTTGTCTCCAAAAGTTGAACCTCTATAGAAAAAAAATATGTTGTCCCCACAGCCTCAGAGATAATTCGCCGTTCGTAAGAAAAAAAATAAAAATCACTCACATGTAAATATTACTCCTAACATCGCCCCTTCCAGACTATCCTGGGTGGCAAAACAGGCGCTTACCCGCCCGCCTTTGGCCACTCAGCCTGTCAGTTAGCAGGCTGGCTAGACTCTAGCCTGAAAAACACCGCTCCAGCCTCAGCCACGGTTAGCTACAGGCACAACCGGGCACACCGCCAGCGACAATAGGATAAACAAGGTTAATCAACCTCAACCCTCGAGCACGTCGGATAACAGAATATGGGAAGACATTTCATTCATACACCGGTTCGCAAAATGTGCGTTTTGCTGGCTTCAACTTACATGGGCGCTGAGAGGATTGTGTTGATGACCATTCATTTCTCCCGACGGTGGAACACTCCCACGGTGACGTCAAATAGCGTGCTCGACGTCAGGACAGCGGAGTTACCAGACAGCGAGCTATCCCGTCAGAAACCCGTGCGGGTTAAGTGGGTTTATATGACCGTTTTATGAGTTTATAGAATACAGTGTTTGTATTGTGTGAGAGAGACACTTGAGGGCTGTAGCTCTCTTTAAAAAAAAAAAAAAGAAAGGGATATTAAAGTCGTGAACTCTCTCTTGGAATGTAGGAGAGTTCCATTCTAGAATTTTGGGGAGAAAAAAAAGAAAAAGAATTATTAAGTGTTTTACTGATTCAAGTATTTTTAGTCACAGTATATTACAAAAAAAATAAAAAAAAATAAAATCAGAATATGATTCCAGGCAATGTAGAGAAGGCTTTGAAGCAGATGGATCTGAAACAATAGTCAATTAATCGATTGAAGATTAATCAGCAACTATTTTGATAGAAAATTATTCAAGTCCTTTCTTGTAAAGCAAAAAAAAAAAAAAAAAAAAAAAAAGGTTGCCGCTTCCAGTCTCTATAATGTGAGTGTTTTCTTAGCCTTCCTTGATAGTAAACCTGATATCTTTAGGTTTTGGACTCTTCGGACAAAACTAGCAATTTGAAGCAACATTTTGGGGCCTGGGAACATTTTGCGTAGACCAAGCAATTAACAATTAGTCGATTAATCAAGAAAATAATTGGTAGATAATTATGGAAACAGCCTGCCTGAGAAATTACAAATAACCTCAATCATCAAGAAAATAAATTCAGACAGTAATTGTGTGTCTAGTCTTGCCCTTTATTGTTAAGTATATTTACATTTTGAATCCCTCTTGCTAAATGCAAGAAACCTAGTTGCTCGCTCTGTAATTTCTACTCAGCAGGAAAGGATCCTCCAGTTTTAATGGCCAAATCTGCAAAGTTAACCAAAAACACATGAAGGAGAGTCTATGAGGATCCTGGGGACCCTGGCAGAAACTTTACCAGTTTCTTGCAGCCGATTTTGGCCTTTGATGAGAAGGGAAAGGATAGAATGGAGGCACGGCACGGTACATAGGCTGTTGTTCAAGCTCATCAGATGGAGCTGGGTTTGCGTTTGCAAGAGGTGTAGTTGGAGGATCAGGAAATACCGGCATGGGAGCCGGCTGAGGAACATAATATGCTGGCATATAAGGGTGTGGGTAGTAAAATGGCTTTTGAGCCACATGCTTTAGACTGGTAGCTGCATTGGTTGTGGAGGTGGTAGCAGGAGCAGCAGTTTGAGCATTTTGTCTTTGAGAAGGATATTTAAGAGGAGGATACAACACAGGTATCTGGTACATCTGAGGATACCCAGAATATGGTTTGGGCTGCTGGTTTACAGGCTTGGGATCCTGAAAAGTTTGACCATCTGGGGGCAGTGGGAGTTTTGGGAATGGCAGCAGAGGATATTGAGGGGGTATTAGAAACTGTGGCTGCTGGGGTATACGAGGCTTCCCATCATCCTTAGTGGTGGGGGCTGGTGTGGTTACCAAAGCCTCTGTGCTAGTGGCAAGAGGAGGAGGAGGAGTTGTTGAATGGAAAATTCCAGGTACCATGGGGAATTGTGGGAAAAAAGGAAATGAATACTGTGGATACTGCGGCATCCGAGGTAATTGGGCCGGAGGAGCAGCAGTGTTTTTATTTGCAGTAGATTGTGTTGGTGGTACCAGCCTAGGAAACAGGGGGTACTGAGGGGACTTCAGGAAAGCCTGAAGAAATCCAGGCTGCTGGGCTGCAGATGCTGAGTCTGTAGCAGCACCTGAGGGCAGCTGTGGACGTTGTGGCAAAGGTGCCGCTGTACTTGGGGTAGGAGCAGGAGTGGGCACTGGAGGAGTGAGCCCAGGATACATTGGGTATTGAGGAAACATTGGGTACTGGGGGTACTGAGGATACTGCAGGGCCTGGCCACTATCACTGGTTGGTGTAGCTGTAGTCGTCATTGTTGTGGTAGGCTTAACGTCCAGTAGTAAAGGACATGTGACTAAGAGCTCCACATCCGCCAACAGAAGAGAGAGTAAATACTTCTCATCCTGAAAGGAAGCACACCAAGTAAATCAAAAGCATGCGTACACTTCAGCTCCCACTTTTGACCACAAGAGGGCCCACCATACCTCAATCTCTATGCACAAGCCTCTGTTGTAGGGTGCAGTGAGCGTCAGTCCTCCAGAGAGCCCTTCAACAGCAATTCCACAACTGCTGCAGATCCATGAGAGGGGTGTCCATGTGCCAGACACTGCAAGAGGTTTTATAAAATAAACTGAAGCTATTTTCTAAACCCAATAAAGTGCCAAAATGTTAAGTTACCCACCCTTAACTTTGAGCTGATTTGCTGTAATACCACCAATCTTCACCACCATCCCAGATGGGAAGCAGGAAACAGTGGGTGGTGGTAACACAGCAGGGCAGGACATGGTCATTGGTGCTCCCCATAAACGCAGTGGGAGAATATAATCACCACCCTGCAGTGTAAAATGGAGGAATGAGAGAAAGGCACACTCATATCCAATAAACCTAGATCAGTTCAATACTTGAGGGAGCATATTTATCACACATTGATAGTAGAACAGAGTTGTGGGGAATAGCCAAGGATAAAGCCAGAATAATTATTGATGAAAATTCAGTTTTTGGTAAATATCCATTACTGCAGTTTGATTTCAGTCATGCAGTTTTGCAACTGATGTAAAAACATTCATAAGATAATGTGAATCTTAACATGGCAAATGAACCCCACCTGCTGGGTAACATGGCAGCCCTGGTAAGGTGCAGCAAAGTGCACATCTCTGCGGGACCTCTTCACAGAGAAGCCACATTTAGGGGGCATTTGGGACAAAGGCTTGAGAGGTCCCTCACCTGTTTGACATTAGAAAATTGTTTAGAACAACGTATTGGACAAAATACCACACTCTCTACAGGGAACCTACCACTGTCCACAAGAAAGTGAGGAGCTCTGGCCCGTTTGACCTTCAGTCTCATCAGGTTGTCGCTACATTGCACTGATGGATCCATGCGCTTCAGTTTTGCATTCATCAAATTGTGCAACACTGGAAAAAGCACAAGTTTAATTTGTTAATTGAGAAGACACCGTACAGCCCCTACCTTGATAAACCGTAACACTCTACTGCATTCATATGTTCACTAACTGATACACTGCACCATGTAGAGGAGAACAATATTTTGAAGAGCATGTTCCCATAATGTTTCTGACCTGCCTGAAACACAAGGAATATGCACAAGCTATGAATGGGTTAGTGATAGAACACATATTTCTGCCCACTGAAGACCATCTCAATGCTGGTGGTGTTCATGGGTGTCCACATGTGCATTCCTCATTCCTCTACAGCTCCACTGGTCATCAAAAACTGCACACTGTCTTTAAATACAAGGGCACCTGCCACTGTTTTTAAATTTATGAGACTGAAATGTTTGAGAAATCAGATAACACAAGTCTTGCAGGTTTTTTGAATGAACAAAACTGCAGGTTGAAAGGACCGATGTGTAGGATTAACGGTGCAGTTGCAGATTTTAACATTTGCCTCACCCTCCCGTTCCAAAATGTATTAGAATCTATGGTGGCTGCAAAACTCGCCCAAAACATTAAAAGTCCCTATCTAGAGCCAGTGTTTGGTTTGTCTGTGTCCGGACTACTGCAGAAACATGGTGATTAAACTTCCCCTTCATAGAAGAGAATCCCCTTCCTCTGTAGATAAAAACAGCTCATTGTAAGCCAACAAAAACAGTACGATTCTTATCTCAGGGGATAATAAACTAATGAAAACAAACCTATGAATATTATATTCCATTTCTGCCAGTGGATCCTCCTAATCACACACACAATAATAAATGTTAGCAAAACAGTCAACTTTTAAACAAATGTAGGAGCTCAACCTATACTGTCAATGAACACCTTTAACTGAGTAACAGTAGCTTTTATTGCCAAGAGGCAAAAAGCAGAAAAGTATCAGATCCTGACAGTTCTTCAGCTCTTGGGGGACAGATATTGGGTGGTCAGGACCATTTTCATTGATTAATCTGACTGAGCAATAATAAAGCAAAACGCACATTTGAGTATTATCTCCCAACTCTTAAGAACACTTATATGATAGGATACACGTTCAAAATCAAATCTGTCAGTTTTCATGTTGCTGCCTTGATCCTGAAGTGAAAGGGATTCATTTCCACTGTGTTCTTATACAAACAAGACTCAGGGACAGAATATCCGACCTACAAAAACATACATCCCGGAGATATTCCAACAATCAACATGCATTCATTAAAACACATTCTTAAGACATATAGCCAATGAATATAGGCCAGAATTCATTTAGATGTTAGAATATGAAATATTGATTTGGTAATGGTTCTAATTAAATCATGCTGAGCTTGAAATAAGGAGAGTGAATTAAAGTATTATTTGGACAGGAATCCACCAGCATTTATTGTGCAGTTTATAGGAATTATATAGGAATAAATTATAATTTGATTCACCTCCCCATGTCAATGTATTTAAAATGAAAGTACACTGCAAGCCATGGAAGTAAACTCTGTGGCACTAAACAATCAGCGGAATGAATATCTCACTGGAGCACTTTATTTTATTTTATTAGTATCTGTAACTAACCTGTAGTCGATTTATGGTCACCTCGTTCAAGTTCGTCAAAGTTGAAGGTAAGTGAACCGTTTCGTGTTGGGGCCGCAGGTTCCTGTTTGATACCGCTGAAGTGAACACTGCCCGGTGATGAAGGCCTTTGCTCAACAGCTTGTCCATTGCTGAGCTGTAAGGACGTTAGGGTCGCCGTCACTACCAAATTCAACATAAGGGTTTTCCAACGCATTACAGCTCCGATTATCACGTTAGGTGTGTCTTTTTGTAAAACTGTTAATCGCTAATCGCAAAGACAGTCACTGCGGCGATTTGTTATACATATATGGGCTCAGTGTTACTTAATTGATCAACCAATCACAGGCCAGTTTGATGCAAGCACCTGTTTGTGGGAGAGACAGGTAATGACGCTTCCTCTAATGTCATCAAAGAAACGGAAGCACAGAATAAGGTCATATTACATTTTTAAAAAGTGCATATCGAATCAGAATAACAATACAAGTAAATAGTTCTTTCACTGACTCCTTATAAAAAGAGTTTTAACACCAAAGCTTGGTGTGAACCTGCTTTAACTAGTAAACTGGCTGGACCTCATTAAAAGTGCATTGATGCCAGGTATAATGAATTTAACAAATTTTTAAACCACATTTAAATCAAATGCATGTATAAATAATATTGCTATAAAGGACAAATCAAACATTATTGAAACAATATAAATGTATTTGTGCTTTGCAAACTTGATATGAAATGCGATTAAAATAATTCCAGCAACATTTCTGCACATTGCATTCATCAAGGTTATAGATGAGTCATATGAAGTCCCTTTATTTACAAACAACACAATGAAAACATCAAATCATATTCATTCTTGCAGAGTTAAATAGTGCAGCTTCACATATTACCAAGGTAAATCAGACAAATGCTCACAACTTTTAACCAGTGAAGTTACAACACTAATCTGGTAAAAACAGGAAAGAGGTGTCGACTCAAATGAAAGGAATTTTACACTGCTGACTGAGAAGTGGTCTATCCTGCATTCATAAATAACACTGGCATAAATAAACAATCATTATAAAACCCTATAATCGTGGAAAACGATAATATTCCCTTTGACAATTCAAATCACAATGACTAGATTAACAAATTGACATTTTTCTACCAGGCCCCATCCTTATCTTCTCCAAAACATACATGTCTTATAAAATTAAGGACTTTTGTGTGATACGACTACTCAAGGGGCTTTTGTGCTGAATATATATCATTTAATTACTTTCAAGAAAAGCAGTTTTTACTTGGATGAGGCCATGTCTTGCGAGAGCATTACTGTTAGCATGACATGAATGTGGCATTTCATGGTGATGGAGCAGAAATTCAGTAGACAGCTTAGAGATCTGTGATATCATCCTCACACCAGTCATGGTGCATCACCGCTGAGAACGCTGAATTAAATTCTTCTTCCTGGTGGGCAGTAGCTGGAGACCCAGCACTACCGTTATAATCAGCGTCAGCTGACTGTATCTGCTCTTTAGCTTGGAAATGATCTAGAGATGCAGAAATAGACTCTGTATCCAACTTCCACCCGTAGCCGACGTAAGCTGGAGGGAATGTAGTTGTACCACATTCTCCGTCAGTGGCATCTGTGGCCACAGAGTGAATCCAAGAGGGAGGTGGAGGCGTAAACAGACCTCCTGCTACAAGCTGTCCGTGATGGAGGGCATTGTCAATGCTGCGCCTGAGGTTAATAGGAGATGGTGGCCTCATGTCAAATTCTATAAGTGAAAGAACACATTCGCGTTCACCAACTTTTTGCCACAGAAGTGCAGCCTGAGACTCTGAGCTGCTAATGCCAGCAGGATTAGGCTTGTATTCTTGTATAATGGTACACGGTTGATCATCATATGGACACATTATGTTGTTGCTGAAACCGGCTTTAGACAGGTTATACTTTGCCCAGGTACTTGGCATCAGGTCTTCCCAGGTTTTCTCAGATTTTCTTAGCGGCCCTTTCTGTATGCTGGCCAAGATGTTACCCCACAAGCTTGTCTCCTCCAACCCTTTAGACACCTCACTTCTGCCCTGCCCATTATCACCCCTTGAATGACCCCTTGATGGCAGCCAAAAGATCCAGGATCCCAGGACAAGCAAAGAAAATCCCCATGCTAACTCAAGAATTCTGGCCCAAAACTGACTGAGCCACCAGCCCCAGCCAAAGCGCCTCCAGTTCCCCAGTAGCCCATAAAGCCAAAGGAGACTATACATCTGAAAGCTGAAGCAGAGAACCCCAAGGAAGGCACACACTGCTGTTACTCTCTTTGCACGCGTCTCAACCCTCGGTGAAGGAACCCACTGAGGCACAGAAGATCTGAGAAAGGGATGTGTATGAGAAAAAGACTTAGAGACCATTCCCAAGCAGAATGGGAGGCCCCAGCAGAGGGAGAGCGTCTGTAGCAACAGAGGGAGAGTGGGGGACAAGGTTTGAGAGAAAAGGTCTGCTACAAGTAATGGAGTGCAATGTGATATAGCCAGTCCTCCAACCACCCATGGCTGCTGCAGTTTTATTGGGAAAAATAATAAATTCAACCCCTTGAGTGTAACCAGAGTGAGGGCAACCTGTGCCCACAGAAGGAGCTGCAGAGGGACATTATGGAAGGCTGCCAGAGCAGCACGAGACAGGATTTGACGGGTACCATAAGGATCAAGTAGAAGGAGGAAGCCACGCAGAGTACCACTCAGGATCAGGAGACTATTTGCCAGAATCAGGGCATCACAGACGGGATGAGGAAGAGTGCATGCACCACCCATCCCCACAACGGCCAGGACTGCCATCAGTATGAAAAGGCCGGCAGATCCAAAGACATGTAGTTCCCAGGCAAATGCCAGTGTGCGCCTCATGTCTTCCCAGAGCAGACTGGTGCCATTAAAGTTTGGCAGAACAACACAAGGTCTAAGACCGAGCACACAGGGGCCTCCAGGTTCCGACTGGTTCTGGTTCGTCATGGAAGTAAGCACATTGTTTTGGACGGGGAATTTAGGGCTGTCCACGTCTGAAGACAGACCTGAGAAAGAGAGAGAGAGAGAGGGAGAAAGAGGAGAAGATTTATTTTCACTCAGTGGTGACTTAATAATGGAGAGTATTTTTATATTATGTCTGACTTTGCTGACTCAGGAATTAAGAACTGACATTGTAAGATCTTCATACTTACACTGACTATATCATCAAATATCATTATATGTCACACTGCTCTCTACTCTTTACTCATTTATTTAAGTATCCAGCCATTTTGTACATATTCTCTCACTCTTTATATTTATATATAGTTGCTTCTTTTTTATTGTCTCTATTTTTTTCTTTTTATCTTTATTTATATATTTTATTCTGATTCTTATGCGCCGATGTACCAAGGCAAATAACTCGTATGTGAAAACTTACTTGGCAATGAACCTGATTCTGATCTGATTCTGATACCATACAGAAAATGTATTAGGAATCTATGACACATTTTTAAACTTATGTTCACTTACCATCCAGAAAATCCTCATTTACTATCGATATGTGAGTCTCTTTTAACTGCTCCTCAGTTGTTATGTGGCTGAGAGCTTCTTCTGAGATACTGTGCACACTGGAGTGAGTATATCCTGTAATTGAAGAATTAGCTCTGTCAGCCTCTTGGCCGTGACCTCCTGAGTGCTGTAGAGTAAGTGCTGGTGTTGTAGTTAATGTGATTCCAGACCCAGGACGGTTTTCAGTGCCAGCTCGCTCAGGCCTCTTTGGAATAACAGTCTGATTGATGACTTTCTGCGATGCTGTACTGTCAACACTTTGTCCACTGCTCTCCACGGTGTCACTGCTGCTCTCTGGGTGGAAGATTACTTCAGTGGCCACGCTGTCCGGGGCATTGTTATTTCTAGCTGTGCTTCGAGTCATTCGGACTGAGTTGTCCGGTAAATGTGAAGTTTGAATCAGGCTTCCAAGTGATGAGAGATACACGGTCAGTGTAATGAAGAGCAAAGATGAACGCCCCATTTTTAATACTTTCACATTAAGTTAAAATCCCAAAACCTGTAGAACAAGAAAGAAGAAAGAGAGGAACAGCTGAAATACAGCACATCAGACGGACATTGGCTATAGAGATTATTGTAATATGTAATATTGTAATATAACTATTAAAATTCATGCAGTATTTTTATAGTACACTATTTTATAGAATTGTGAGAGAGCTGATATAAGAAAAACTTTAAATGTCAGCTAGAGGTAAAGAGTCGCTGAGATTCCCAGATAATTAATCTTGTTTTTAAATCCTATAAAGGACAATAATTCCCCTGAGAGTAATCCAGAGAGTTTGCACACTCTATAACATCTGTGGATGGTTTGTCTCAGCAAAAATACAACACAGCTTGGCAGAAACATGGCACAGCATGAGCCGGTCTGATCTGTCGGTGACCTTTGGCTCACAAATGTCAAGCTGCCACTTCAGTGATATGCAAATCACACATGATGTGAACAAATCATAAATAACTGAAAGGATTCAAAAAGCAGATAGTACACAGGTATTATCCAAAATAACATTATGTTCAGCATGACTTAAACATTTCTAACAAGTGTCCTGATATACCAAGTGCAACCTCAGGTGAGTTTGGATGATAAATTAAAGTTATTTCTGTTTGTGTTTATTTTAACTCTGCTCAAAACATAAATCACAAGTTTAATACCATGTGTCCTGACTTACTGTTATTTGATAAAAAAAAAAGTGCACACAAATACAAAAGCTTTAAAAAAGCTTTACATGCGCAACTATTTGAAGTCTCTAAAACATGCATGCAAGTTTTTCTAACACTTATTTCACAGCTTTACCAAAACAATATCTCCTAACTAAAACAAACATTTTAAAACTCTAAATCAAACCAGATAACATAAGAAGTACCTGTGATTCCTTTTGCTCTGCCTCCTTTTAGTGTGTCACTCCGTCTGTAGCTGCAGTACAAACACGTATAACATCAGATTTCTAGTGTGAGCACATAAAGAGCATCACGGTGAGGGTTGAGCACACTGGATTTACTGACATGCTCACAGACATCTAGGCTTCAAGCTGACGTCTTACACTTATTACTGCACCGGCTGGTTACTTGGCAGCGTCCCATCCTGAATTTGACCTGCAAAAGCAAAATACTGGGGGGGCTAATTCTGAAAAAACAATGCTGGAATAAACAACTTCCAGGGTTTTTGTCTTCACATTTGTATTTAAAAGGAAAATTATGAACTCAATGAATAAAAGCCCACAAGCTTCGCCTGCCTCTTTCTACAACAGTTGTGTTAAGGTAAATCCCTTCTCTAAAGGATTACATTAAGATTCTTACAGTAGCACAAAGTCACATGAAGTGATAATGTGAAGCCAACTAGACACGAGAGCTCTAGTATTGTTTCATGCCAACTGACCAGCTTATTACCTTGAAAGCATGCAACTGTGAGGGCTTATACCAAACATGACACGTGGACAGTAGATGTTATATACACTGTATTATCTGAGATGTTTGTCTCTATCAGCCGTGTCTAAATGATTTTATTCAAGACAAAATATGAATGTAACATACTGTATATAACTATCATCACCACTTCCACCAGAGAGCCCTTGCAGAATCCCAGTCTGCAGTGAGTGTGGGAATTAACTCTTCCCTATCCACTGTGTAGAGGACATAGCCTATGCACACAGTACATCTGTGTTGGTCCACCTTAAGACGGGCGAGAGGCAGTTTGTTGTGGAGGGAACAGGGGGAGGCACTCGGTAGCACATGCCTGGCTCTTTAAGGCAGACTGGGGAAGTTAGATTTTGTTAAAGGTACATGCATTCAAATGTGTCCCAGGCATCATCAGGACATCCTAAAAGAGCATTTTCACTTTATAAATGTGTGTGTCAGTTTTAAATGATTGAAGCTGGAGCTGAGTCCTGTGGAACAGAGTCAAAACTATAGTGATGCATATTTAAAAGAGGAGGCAGTCTGACACAACAAGGTCAATTCAGTAGCTTTTCCCAGAGCTTTCAACCACATCTCATAGGTACTGAGACCTATAGAGATCACTGTGAGGCCAAAAAACTTACAATCAAATTCAGAAAATAAAAATAAAATATTTAAGTGAGGTGTCAACTTCTTCCAGTGAATGCCCTATAATACATGCATTTACATTCATATATTAATCTAACCGATTGCATATATATGAGTGCATATTTTCACCTGTTATTTGCCCTCTCTTCTTTCCAGTGCCAGATAATAAAGAAAATAATAGGCAATAATCAATATTGTATGTACAGATAATATAATAATACAATAATCATCTGAGGGATTTTGACCATATTGCTTGAGCCTAAATTACACATAACACACTGTACATTAACCTACACGTCCATGTGTGCATTTGTGTTTTAAGTTTGTATAATGTCACAGTGTCAGAGAGCCCCACATTAGCACTGACTGGTCCGGGGACGGGAACTCTTGTTAACAGGACACCGCGGCAGGCCGTCGCCCGACAGAGCAGTCTGGAGAGCAGTCGCGTTGTTCTCGAGGCCTTTACTTCCGTCATTTCATAAATCACTGGATAAACACAGCGGAGGCTCTATTTTTTTTGCACGTATCTGTGTGTTACAAGCCGTAGTAACCGCGACTCCACTGGATCGATAAGTCAGTGCTTTCCTGGAGCTGGGGAAACTTGTTTTACACCGAAGCCTGTCCGGATCTCACCCCTGAAACAAGCAGACGTCAGACCTCGCCTCGCTCGTCGCTGCTGTTACATTTTTATCGCAACTTAACCCGCATTGTTTGCGGGATTACACTCGCTGCTACATGCACTTAACGTTATGTAGCCAAGTTGATGGTGTGCTGGTGGTAGCTGTTAGACGTTTATCGGCTTTTTAGTTTTAAACACCGTGCCTTGGCGGAAAGAAGAGGATTTCGTTTTATTTAAGGTAGCATGACCGGATTCAGAGCCGTCGAGCTAGCTAGCTAACGTTAGCACAGTGGTTAGCTAGCGTCCAGTTGTTGCAATGAATGGACGGTGGCTCTGATGTTTGTTATCCTATGAGCAAAATATGTAATTAAAAACGCTTAATTTACAGTCTGTATTACACTGGTGTTTGACGGTGTTGAGTGCCGTTAGCGGTTGCTAGTCAACCAACTGTCCATATGGGCTACATGGCAACACAGTGCCTCGCTAACAGTGTGAGGCTAGCATGCTAACCACGTAGACACTATTATTAGTACAGAAAGTCTGGATAACGTGTTGTTGTCTGTTTCGGCGCCTTTATGAACATTTCACCGAAATTGGGTTTTATAGGATAACAAATTAGACCTATCCGTGCGCCACACATGCCTCTGTAATTTATAAGTTATTAGTAAAAAAAAAAAAAAGTAGTTTGAGGCGAAGCAGTTATTGTGTTAGGAGCCAAAATGCACTTTGGCCGGTGTGCTTACTGGGTTACTCCAGCGTCCATCTATTTAATTAGCAGGGGTTTAAATGGCAGCTAATTATATATAATTACAGATGCGTGTAAACCACTGCCCCTCACTTTATTAGAATATCATTCATTATACGTATATGTGCTTCCAGTTCACTCCTTTCTGTGAATGCGAGCTGTTCTGGATTTGATCACATGTTTGACAAATGTATTTCCATATCTCCAGAAAGACTGACGATGAATGAGCAGGAGAGTGGGGTGGTCTCCTTTGATGAATATGTGCGGCAGAAGGCCCGCACTGTGCCTCAGCACAGGATGAAGGAGTTCCTGGAGTCCCTCGCCAAGGGCCCAGAGGTGCTGCAGGAGTTCAGCCAGCAGGGAGGGGCGGCCACCACCACCACAGCCATGGTTTACCAGCAGCAGGGTACCAACTGTATCTACACAGACAGCACTGAGGTGGCTGGGTCTCTCCTGGAGCTGGCTTGTCCGGTAAGAGCAGCCCCTCCCCCTTTTTCCCCCCCTTCTTTTTCTCCTTTTTTTTGTTGTTGTTATGGTTGTTGAATGATATTGATATTTCTCAGTGTGGTGCAATCTGCTGCACTTCATATGTGCATGTGTTTTATGGCAGGTACAGGTGACCTCAGCAGACATTTCACCTCATCTGTCTGTGCATCAAGAGTCTGAACAGCAGCTTCAAGTGCAGGTTAGCTTATACACCAATGTCAGTTTCTCATACTGTCACATACTATTTTTAAATTGCACAAGACAGGAGATCGCTTTTGTAGCCGAATAGTTGAAGCGAACATGGTTGCAACTATTGCTGGTTCGATTCCAGACGGTGACCCTATACATGTCATACCCCCTTTCTCTCTCCCGCCACTTCCTGTCTGCCTCTACCTGTCACTATCCATTAAAGGCAGAAAAGAACGCCCATAAAACAAGCTTTTAAATTGCCGGGGCTGGCCTCGTCCACAATTGCTGTCATTACTCAGTGTCAAGAGGGAAAACAAATGAGAAGGCAGTGTGGTGTTTGAGTTGATCTGTGCTCTACCTTTGCTCTGTTAGCTCTGATAATGCATCTACTTGTAGTTGAGAAAAGGGTGTGGTGAGGAAGGATTTACTATTCCAATTCAAAACTAAGTATAGCTGCTATTCTACTGTTCATATGTTCATAGTGCAAGTAAGATATTTTATTACTAATGCTTTTAGGTGACTCCAAATCTACAATTTTAATAACAAAGCTATACTATAGGTGATCCTATATGTTTCCTTATGAATCCATTCAGTAACACATTCACTCAATTCTTTACCCATTCCTAGTTGTTATTAGCATCCTTGCTGCCTATTGGTTTTTAGGAGGCATGGCTGTGATTACACATTAAAGCAGGATCAGTCATTTACCTTCTCGCTACTGCTGCACTTGTGTTTGTCACTGTGTGTCCTTAAATGTATAAATATGACTTGAGGCCATTATGGAAAGTTCCACAACAGACAAGTTCTCTATTGTGGATTTTCCCTTTTCACAACAAATGGTACAGTTCTTTAAAAAATCTAACTTTGTCTCTGGAGAAGAAACTGTTTCTTTGGCACAATGTCCCGATCTACCGTGGCGTTTAGACTGTTTGTCCTGCTCAGTGTTTACTTTTCATACTCTCCCTCTGTGCCAGGTTCAGATTCAGGAGCAGCAGGGCCAAACGGTTGGCCAGATTCTTCAGGTGGCCTCCCCCTCTCAGCAGGACCTGCAGGGAATCTCAGCAGCCCAGCTTGTCCAGCAGGGAGAGCTCACAGAGGAGCAGCAGCAGCAGGTATTAGATTTATTTTAACAGTCACACATATCAAGAGCATCCACACTATGCGTTGTTGCTGGTTTGTGACTCTGTCGACTGTGTTTCACAGATTCAGGCACAGTTGGTTGCAGCTGTAGCTGGAGGGCAACAAATCCAGTTACAGGGAACACAGCATATTCAGTTGCCAGGGGGGCAGCAAATTCAACTTCAGGCTGGCCAACAGATTCAGCTACAAGGTGGCCAACAGATTCAGCTACAGGGTGGCCAACAGATTCAGCTACAGGGTGGCCAGCAAATTCACCTACAGGGTGGCCAGCAAATTCACCTACAGGGTGGCCAGCAAATTCAACTACAGGGTGGCCAACAAATTCACCTACAGGGTGGCCAGCAAATTCAGCTACCAGGAGGGCAACAAATTCAGCTACAAGGTGGCCAGCAGTTTCAGCTACCAGGTGGCCAACAGATCCAGATCCAGACCATAGAGGCCATGTCTCCTTCACAGCAACAGGACTCTCTCAGGGAGGCAGAGAGGAGGTCTTCTCCTGCCTCAACTGTTCTCCAACCTGCCAAGAAGCGAAAGGTGGATGTCCCTCTAGCTGTGTCATATGCCATTCCACAGGGCCAGCAGGTTGCCACAGTTGTAGCCATCCCTCAAGGGCAGCAGCAAAGCTACGTGTCCCTACGACCAGATTTGCTCACTGTCGACAGCGCTCAGCTGTACAGCACTACAGGAACAATCACAGGTCCCACAGGTGAGACCTGGACCATCCCAGTGTACTCCACTCCACAACAGCAGGGTGTAACTCACATTGCCATACCACAGGAGACATACAGCACAGTGCAAGTTACCACCACCAATGGTAAGGATAAAATGTCCCCCAGTTCCTCATCAAGGTCTACAGATGTGCAGTCTGCCTCCGCTGGGACGCAGGAAGAAATAGTACAGATGTTCCCAGCACAGTTCATGAATGGGAACATTCACATCCCTGTAGCAGTGCAGACAGTAGGAGGGACTTACAACACTACACAGTCGGTACACATATGGGACCCAAATCAACAGCAGGGCCAAGGAGAAGAGGGACAAGAACAGCAGCTCCATCTGCAGGTTTGGAGAGACTTTTACCTTACAGTATGACTGAAACTGAATCTGTTCTATGCATAAAATGGATAAACAATCTTAAAATGAATCTTCATGCTGTGATGACAATGGAAAAATGTGACATACTTGTATTCTTTATAGTCAGGAAACACTAATAACAGTATCTAAAATCTATCAAGAAAGCTGCTGATAGTGTTTGAAACCCTGTAGATGCGTATTGGTGTTAGGCCTGGTGGTGTTTGCCGTTTTGGATGAATCATTTTGTTAAAATGTCCTGGTTTCTGTTGGTTTTTTCTGGTCCTTTTCAGACAGACACGTGTTAAAAAGTCACATATTAATCATTACTATGCAATTATACTATTAATTAGCTGAATTATTATCATGTGATTATTAAGATGTGTTTTATCCTTGCTGCCCTCTTTCCAAGAAACCATTAACTTTGACGTTTTTATTTTGGGCTTGTGCAGGGTCACATAGAGACAGAGGCTCATGCTGAGCCGCCTACAGAGATTCTGGTTCCTGTCTGTCTAAAGCCAGAGGAAGGCCTGGAGGTGTGGCGCCTTTGGGCACATCGGAAAAATGCGGAGCTAAACAAGCAGGAAAGGACAAAGCTCGCACCTATAGGACGTAAGTCAGCTAATAAGTACTTCAACACACATTCATGTTTGATATTTGTCCAACAGCACTGATAATCTATCATTACATGTACTTAACTTAAACCACTGGAAGCTGTGCAAGTTCAGCTTTGTTTTTATTCCTGATGTTGGCTGTTGTACCTCCTTAATAATGTTTATTCTGTTTTTAAACTGAGAAATAAGCAAGTAAACTTTGTAGCACTAATAAAACTTAACCTCTGCTCACCTCTCTGTGGTCGCGTCCAGGTCGTCAGCCCCTGCGTTTTCAAGAAGACCTGGTGTCCAGCGCCGTAGCCGAGCTGAACTTGGGTCTCTCCCTGATGACGCAGGAGGCCCGAGGATCAGACGAGGAACAATTTGCATCCGATGTTCTATATTATGTTTTCTTGTGTATACAAAAGGTTAGAATCCTCATGCCCAGGCAGCGTATAATGCCAAACAGCTTTCTAAGTCACTGAGTTTTAACTTGTACATTTCTTTTTCTAGTATCTTTGCGAGAACGGACGTGTGGATGATATTTTCTCGGATCCGTATTACACACGTTTTTGTGGGTCTTTACACAAAATCCTGGATGGCTGGAAACCCAGTATCCACCCTTTAGGTAACAGAGGATCAACATTTACGGTTTGATTTATTTGTTTTATAGAAAGAATAAACTTACTGAGTGTTTTTATCTCTTTTAGGTTATATCATCCCAAGTCATGTGACAGAGGAGATGCTGTGGGAGTGCAAACAGCTTGGCGCACATTCACCAGCCACATTGCTCACAACTCTAATGTATTTCAACACTAAGTGAGTACCCACCTCTCAGCACCTGAATCTGTTCTCTTCAATGACACAAGACATGTATTTTAGATGTTATTACTGCATGTGGTAAAAATGTATCTGTCACAGGCATTTCCACCTGCTGACAGCTGAGCAGCACATGAAAGTAGCTTTCTCGAAGGTCCTAAGACACACGAGGAAGAATCCCGCCAACGCCAAGGACAAAGCAACCAGTATCCGCCTTCTGAAAGGACAAGGTCCACACAGCGCAGGACAGAAAGGTGCTCAATACCGTTAGCCTCATGCTGAAGTCTCGCCTTTTGAAAGCAGAAATTGCTGTTGCTGACCTGCTGTGTGTGCCATCTGTTTCAGGAAACGATGAAATGTACGAAGAGCAGGCAGAGGATCCCGAGAATCCTCTTCGCTGCCCGATCAAACTTTATGACTTTTATCTCTTCAAATGGTGAGTGACGCATCACATAAACCCTAAAATAATTCTTCAGTACAAACCACAAAAAACACCTAACTCCCACTCCCTTTTTCCAGCCCTCAAAGCGTTAAGGGACGTAACGACGCATACTACATGACTCCAGAACCCGTCGTTGCACCCAACAGCCCAATGTGGTACTCGTCTCAACCCCTCACGAGTCAGCAAGTGGAGCACATGCTGGCCCGCATCATCGTGGTCCGAGAGATCCAGGAGATCATTTGCGCCAGTCAAGACAACATGAGCTAAACTGAGAGGACTGCCTGCACTCATGGGAACTAGTTCACTGGCTGTTGACTATGCAGTATCCATCCTGACTGTATAAACCTCAATGACCATCTCAAAACAACTTCTGAAACAATCATCTCTCTCCAAGGAGTGTGTTGGGACATTTTTTTCTCTCTCTCTCTTCTTACATTTTCTGTTTTTATTTGATGCAGTTGGCTGTTCTTTCTCTTGACTACCTTTTTGTAAGCCATTGCCTCCGTAAGGCTTTACTGGCAAGTAAAGGAGGCTCTGTGATTAACCTCCTGGGCTCTGAGCTCACCAGAGGTGGTAAATGTTCCTGTAAAAGTCAGTCTTATCAATATGATATGAGGATATTTAACCCTTCACTACTTAACCTCACAGACCTTTAACCACATCTTATTTCTCTTCAAAGTCCCACTATGATACGCGGCATCTTACTGGACAATTACAGGGACCACTTCCCACTATTTTTTTGTTTTTGTATACTGACTGCATTTTGGATCATGTATCAATATGTTCAAAGCTGAAGAACTCGTGCCTGTTTTTCAAAAATGACGTCATAATTTATGCTTGTGGATCACTGAGTGAGCTGAACCTCAAATATTCACAAGGTCAAGTGCTATATTGTAGTCATTCAGGAGATTGGAAACATTTTTCTCAGGTCAAAGCTAGTGATTAAAACACCCATCTAGGATTTTTTGCCAACTTATTCCTGTATGTATAGTAGGTTATTAAACAGGATATTCAGATGGAAACATTGTTTAGCTACCACAGTATTAATCCTTGTATCAAAAGTCATGTGAAGCGATCCAAAAATGACAAGTATTGAGTGCTGTGTTGTCTGTGGACATTTGAAATAAGGATTAGTTGCGGGCCCTTTTTAAAAAAAATATATAACTTGTTACACCAACATCATCCATAGGCTGGTGGTGCCTCCCATGAAATAACATGCACATTTGGATGAACGACGTTAAGAATAGTTGTGATACAGTTCTGCTTTATTTGTTTATTACTAAAATGAGTTGTATAGCACTGTACAGTCATTTTACACACTGTCATCTGTGGTTGATACATTTACACAACCTCACAAACAAACCCACAACAACCCAGCTCGATATAATTTAATTTCCCATTTAACTTAAATGGTACATATGAGACACTAAGCAGTCTGAATTCCTTCAGACAAAAGCTGGATTACAAAGAACTGAACAGAAAAGCACAGAGGTGATTATTTATTGTCCTTTTTATCAGGAAGCGGTAATTGCAGTCGATTCAGTGTTTGCACAAAGTATTTAGGCAGTGGGCTGGACACGCTGAGGTCAGCTTCACTGGTTCCTAGCAGCGTCAGCTCTCGAGCGAGCAAATGAAGAGGAAGGTAACGGACCTTGCTCTGTTCCAGTCCAAGCTTTCCCAGCATACGTTCCGGTAATTTCTGTGCACAAAAAAATAATGAACAAACTTTTTTTTATAGAAGATAACAGATACTTTTTGACAGAAAAAAAAAAAAACTAAACTGAGTTAAACTGTAGAAATATTGGTCCTACTAAGTGTAAAGTCCACACTTATGTTAATAAATTAAAGCAGACACTGGGGAGCATATAGGGTAGGTTTGAGGGTCAGTAAGACCATAACGGTTGCTGGTTTTACTTAAAGCACAATAAGACACCTAATCAAATGTTTGCCATGTGGGGAGGGAGATGAAAGTAGAGGATGCTGGTTGGCTCAGACAATAACAAATAACCCCCCAACCCAGAGTGTGACAGTTAATACATTTATAAAAGGCCATATTTGGAACAATTAATCACACAGTCACTTGTTGATTTGAGGTGCAACAGCATAAAATAACAGCTAATAACTGAGCTGGTGAGTTTAGGCTTCAACTGCATTACCTGAACTGTAGAATGAGTGAGTTATATACAACTTGAGGTGATGGAAACATTGTGTTTAACTTCACAGGCCAGCAGGGAGATATTTAACAATTTACACTGGGGACAATGAATATCTGTAGCTCTACACTTTAATGTTAAAGCAATCGAGCTGTAGAAAAAACTTTTTATTATTCTTTACCATCATGCAAAACTTAAAAATAATCCTCCCTTTTACTAGTCAGAGCAAATCAAAAAGCAGCTAATGACACACCACTACTGCTTAAGGGGAATTTGTTGATGTTCCACATTATTAATCTACCAATTCTGTCTCACTATTCAGGTATTGTGTGAAATTGTTAGCTGGAAGATGCTATTTTGGTTGCTAAGCTAGTGCCTCCTAGGTGGCGTGCCATTTATTGCTATAGGCCAGTAAACGCACCCCTACTCAAAGTGGCCAACCATTAAGAACTATCATATGGCAATAAAGCAAGAGTGGCATACTATTAGGCAGTTTACCACTATATGAACCACTATATTATACTTGTGGATTCATATAAAAATGTAAACAGAGATTTTACCTGAGGAGCCAGTTTGCTCCAGTTGGAATATTTGTGGTCACCAAGAATGGGGCACGTGAGACCAAGTGCCATGTGGACCCTCACCTGGTGCTTCACTACTGTGGACACAAGAAAGAAGAAAATGTGTCCAATCTTCCTTAAAAGAAATTTAACAAACAGATTTGGGAGAAGTTTCTGGTAAAAAAAAAAAAAAAAAAAAGCAGCAAAGCCTTCCTACCAGTCAGAGGCTGGAGCTCCACAAGGCTGCAACCATTGTTGCTGGTCAAGACTCTGTATTCGGTTACTGCAGGAAGGGCCTGCCGACTGGACCGCACTTTGGTCAAACCATCGCCTGCATCGTTCATTCTGAAAAGAGGACTTAGTGCCATCTGAAATTTAAAACAAAGAAGTTATGAGACTGGAGAAACTATACGAATACGAGACGACCACATTTAATCATCGACTACTTGAAGCAACTGTAAATACCCAATACAGGTTAAATGTAATGTGATAGACTTTACTGTATAACATCAAACATTGAAAAGAAAGTATTTTATGAAGCTAAAACCAGTGCATGCTCGCTGTTGTTACCAATAACTACAGCAATTCATTTAACAAATTTGGAATCAGTTGATTAACAGCTAATTATTAAAGCATCAAAACCACAGAAGAAGAGACACCTTGTAGTGTGGCCGAGGGCCCGGGACCTCTTTCTCTATGATGGGAATGTCAATCACTCCTACAGATGGCACAGGGACACCAACTGTGATGACCCTGAGGAGGGAAAGTGAATATGTTAATTGTAGCATGTGATCACGTGACAACCCCAGTTCTTCTGTCCCCATATGACAGCTCACCAGTACTTTCTCTGCACTTGGTTATTTCTTTGAAGGTTGAGTATGTGCTCCACCACTTCTTCCCTCCTGGCCAGCAAGAGAGCTCCCGTTGTTTCCTTCTCCAGCCCCAGACAGGGGAGCAGCTGAGACCCCGAGTTGACCTTCATACCATCCAACATTTTGGAGAGAACAGGAAGCACAGAGGTGATGGATGTGGAACCACAGTCATCTGAGAGACGACAACAACAACATTAATGTACATGCATTCAGGTCTCCAACATCAGCATGACAGTCCAATAATCTCAGTTGTATTGTAGTTGCAGCTTATTCCAGTTCTACGTTACCATCACTGGGACAGAGATGTACCAATATATCAGCAGACCAGTATCATCAGTATGCAAGTTAAGATTTTCTTCCTTATCTACTAATCTGTAGAATAATCTTTTGTGTCTATAAAATGTCAGAAAATAGAGAAACATGTCCATCACAGTTCCCCAGAGTCAAAGGTGACAACTTCAGTTTACAGTGACAGAGACAAACTGAGCAGAGCTGAAACAATCTTATTAGTTGGACATAATGAGACATTTATATATATTATCTCTGGTCTCAGAGCTGGCAATGGGCAGTTACACTATTAATAACAATTCTGACATATATAGAGCTGAAACCAGTGAATTTATGGCATTTTATTTACAAAATTAACAAACAATTAATCTGCAATGTCCTGTCAATCAACTTCTAATTCCAGCTCTAAAGAGTTACCATACACAAGTGCTCCCCAAACTCTGTTAAAGTTCACATTAACTCAGTGTGAAGCTCCGACTGTCTCCAGTGTGAGCTCCTGCGGGTTTACCTCGGACTGGAACACCGTAAGGTTTGTTTATGACAACCACATCTTTATCCTGGTACAGCACGCTTCTGTGGAGCTGTTTGGCCAGCACGTTAGGATGGACGTTTTGTAGCTGCTGACTGAACCGTTTCAGCTCCGCAACCCTCTTCTGCTGCCCGGACATCGGAGGCTCCGGCTCCGGCTCCGCTGGCTCCGCTGCCGCCTCCGCCGCCTCCGCCCGTGGCTTCGTCCTCTCTTGTTGGACCTTCCGGGCCAGGTCGATCGCTCTCAGCCGCGGTCTCTCTCTGGTGTCGGAGGCTGGATTGTGTTCAGCCTTGGTGACCAGGCTCCGGCTGAGGGATGCTGCTGCCTCCGGACACCGGCGGCAGTTCGCCCGCTGTCTGACCCGAGTAAAGACGGCGTTCAGGCCGGATTTCCAGTCAGTGCAGACTATCCTCCTGCAGCTGTTCATTGTGGTGTGTAGTCTGGTAGACAGTTCACATTAGCGTGGAGACATAAAAACAAACTCCAGAGGACATGTGTTTGCCGTCGAACTACTTCCGGGCCACACCTTTCAGAATAAAAGCGTCCAAACGTAATTTTCTACTACAACTAAAAAAAGCAAGAAAATACAAAAATCCAATATTTTAGTTGTAGAAGTGAGTTTGATTAAACTTATACTCGTTCAGTCACACACATGCTATTTTGGACTTCTGATTGCTCGAATAAACATTACTAAAAAATTACCTGACATTTTAGCTCGCAACTAATTTGTCAGGACGCCTCAAAAAATGCGATTTAATAACAAAAAATAATCCCCAAGCGGTATAAAAGAAAATATGTGTGACCTTCAAAGCTGTTGTATATTAAAAACACTGGAGTGTAAGTTACGTGCAGCAATAACTTCCTGTGGTGGTTTGTCGTAATTTCCTGTTTCTGACAATAAGTATGCTCGTTTCTAACACCGTCACTGCCCGGTTGGCTGAAGCTACTGGCTGTAATAGTGATTGTTAAAGCACCGCTCACCTGGTAGACGTTGAGGTACAAACCGAATGAGCCGTTGTTACTCCAGGTTGCCGTATGGGTGGATGTTGTGAATAAACAAAACCGCTTTTTATTTTTATTGTCGATGTTCTGAAAATGTGAGCATTTATTTGGACGTTTTAAAGGATGTTGTTCATGCAATGCTCGAGCAAAATGACTCGCAGGCTTCATTAAACCTGGAAACAGAGGGAGGGGCCACCTTTTGGGTTTTTACATGGTCTACTGTTGCATGAAATAAAAAAACATACGCTGCAGACATGAAGATCACAGACAGCGTGTTGCGAAGTTTCAGGGTTGCAAGGACATATCGAGAAAACTCCCAGAAAGTAAACTGTGTGGACTTCAGCCCAAATGGGGAAAATGCGATATCAAGCAGCGACGATGACTGCATTGTGTTATATGACATCCGGGAAGGAAAGTAAGTGGACAACATTACATTTAAAAAAAACAAGTGGGAACTGAGTAATTAAAAGTGTAATCTATTTATGCCTCAATAATGTGAAAATAAATAATAAATAATGGTTTCCATACTGTGTGGACTCTGTCAGTGTTCACTGTGGTTCATCACTGATTGACAGGTTCAAATGTTCTGTCCTTTCTCAGGCCTAAAAGGACCCTGTTCAGTAAGAAGTATGGAGTAGACCTCATCCGCTACACGCATGGAGATGCACAGACTGTAGTCTACAGCTCCAACAAGCTAGATGGTAAATAACTCAATAAACTGACAGTCAGCTGTTGGCACAAAGCACCAAAACAAGATATCAAATATAATTTAAATGCATCTTCTACTCAGTTTTTTAAAACTTAAGTATGATTTTGTGTCTTGTAGATACCATCCGATACCTGTCACTCACTGACAACAAGTACATCCGGTATTTCCCAGGTCACACTGCAAGGTGAGTAAATCCACCTCCACCAATGAAGTGGATGTAAACCTTTAAAAGTGGATTTCTTCCAAAGAAGATGAGAACAAAGTGAATACAACCCTCGTCAGGTTCCTGGGTGGAAAAATGCCAACAAACTTATTCCAACCCAAGTTGCCCTTTAATCAGAACAAATGAGGAAGCTACAATGTGCTTTTTATTAAGTTGAATTCCATCAAAATGATCACAAAAAGTACATTTTAATATTAATCTTTGATGTTCGCTACATATTTGAATCCATCTGTTATCTATACCTTATTATATCCTAATGTTGATACAGGTATGGAAAACATTTATTCACGCTTATGCTAAGTGTTTCAGAAATACACAAAGGAAGTTGTACTGTATTATCTGGTCTTTTCTTGTCTTATTTTACCGTATCTAAAAATAAGTTTTATTCCTCAATGGTTGAAGGTCCTTTTGATGTTTTTCCAGAGTCATCGCTCTCTCCATGTCACCAGTGGATGACACGTTTATCTCCGGCTCTCTGGATAAGACAATCCGGATCTGGGACCTGCGCTCTCAAAACTGTCAAGTGAGTAGTCTGTGAACAGGCTGGAAAATGACACTTCCTCCGTTGTCTGTGGGCAGTTACTCAAATGTGTAATTACAGCTGCTGCTACAAAATTTAGCACTAGATCAGGACTTCCCAGATTACTGCCCATCAGGTTATCAGTAGTTACCGACCCCCCTTTTAATAAACGTTTGTCCTGCGACCACTGGGTGTCCCCAGACCTCCTGTAGGAACCACGGCTGCACTTGGATCTTCCCTCTCACATGTAAAACTGGACCAACACACAGTAGCTAAAACACAATACTGTAAAATATTATACTATAAACAAAGACTAAATGGAAGGAGATACTGTTATATGAACAATGCATGACACAAACACCAGTCATTAATCAGTAAGCCTGAAATATGGTGATGAAATCCAGACTTCCTGTTGTCTGTTGACTCTTTTTCTCTGGGTTTATTGGTGTGTATTTGTGTTTCAGGGTTTGACTAATCCACTGGGGAAACCTGTATGTTCCTTTGACCCCGACGGGCTGATATTTGCTGCAGGGGTGGAATCACAGGCCATTAAATTATACGACCTTCGTGCTTTTGACAAGGTAAAATGCAAATGAGTGTGTTAGTGGTTTGTGTGAGTGCATTTGTTGGCTGCATGACGTGGTAAAAACGTCATATTGCAATTATTTTGATGGATATTGCGATTGTGATATGTTTCATGATCGGTGGGAAAGATTCATTTTGCAACACAAATTAAATTTTTTATAAAAAAAACTATTCAAATCTGTAGCAAACAAACCTGTTTCCTTTTGTATGCATGGAGGAGTTGACTTTTACACACCTGCTTTATTGTTTTCTCTGTTATTGAGTATTTATAATGTATGTAATATTTCTGTGTAAAGGGTCCCTTTGCCTCCTTTGAGACGAGGTTTAATCGTGTGTGTGACTGGACTGGACTCAAATTCAGTAACGATGGGAAACAGATTCTCATCTCCACCAATGGAGGGATGATTCGCGTCCTGAATGCTTTCAATGGATCAGTGCTGCACACTTTCTCTGTAAGAGACATACACATTGTCACAAACCTACTGAATTAAATCTGTCTGTTTATGGTTGCTTTGAAGCAGCTCAATGTGGTGTTTCCTTTGCTAATTTCAAGGGCTACAACAACAGTAAAGGCATCTCCCTGGAGGCCTGTTTCACTCCCGACTCGCAGTTTGTCATGATTGGTGAGACTAAACACCTCAGATTTATATTTAGGCCTCTTCCTGTAAGCTGTGTGTTTAAAATGTGTCATGCTTTGCAGGCTCAGAGGACGGGAGGGTCCATGTTTGGGGCACTGAGAGCGGGATGAAGGTGGCCGTGCTGGATGGGAAACATCCGGGGCCAATCAACACGCTGCAGTTTAACCCCAGATACATGACGTTCGCTAGCGCCTGCACTAACATGGTGAGATCAAACTTATCATATCGACGTTTGCTGCTGGACAAACTGATACGAGCAGAGTGATCATTTGTAATTTGTTCTTCTCTTCTCTTAACAGACTTTTTGGCTTCCGTGTGTTGATGACGTTTAGCGGGACGTTACCACAGTGAGTCCTCATTGTAAAACACGTCACAATCATACAGTGATGTAGGATACCTTTGTGTGTTAGCCTCTCTTGTCCTGATAAGAACCTTGTGGAACTGATAGTTTAATGGAGGAAAAACTGTTACTGTTACTTTTTACATGCAGTATTGTCAAACTTTTGAAAGGATTGATGCAGCTGTTACTAAATCCTACATACCTCCCGTTAAAATTCAGGTACAAAACATTGGGTCAATATTTTTTTACCTAATATCTCAAGATCGTGTGATTCAATTGCAATTTAATTGATTAATAATCAATGTTTTTACCGTTTTAATATTGATAATAAAGTGTTTTTAGATGAAAATAAGAGCTCATGTTTTTTCTTTTTATGGCATCCTTACTTTTATCATACATCAGATGAATCTTGATATATAGTACCAGCGCTTTAACGAATGATTTATTACATTATCGATTCAAAATTATTCTTTTCGATTTGTCATTTGGTCTCTATAATATAGGTTGTATAAAATGTCTGAGAATTGTGAAAAATGTCACTTTCCTTCAGCCCAAAGTGACTTCTTCCCATCGCCTGCTTTATCTGGCCAGCTGTCCAAAACCCAAATATATTTTATTTATTATCACATAAGACAAAGAAAAGCAGCAAATCATAATTCAGAAGCTGTCATTAGGTAAGATTAGGTCATTTTTGCTTACATTTTCTTTTTCTATCAATTGTCCAATCAATTGATTGTTTGAGCTTTATACAGTGAATAATAATGAGCACATTTACTAAGAAAATGTAAATTGTTCACACTTTCCAGTACAACACACTGATATTAATGATTCTGTAGGTTGCTCTTTGTATATGAATAATTACAGCCTTAAACACAGTGAATGATACAGTCCTTACAAATGTGTCTTTTTTTTAGATAATTAATTAAAGGATTAGTGTGTCTGTGCTTCTCATAACAACGACACTCACATGAGCTTACTTAACAGCAGTTCATTCAGTCAGTAAACCCATCTGTGAACACACATGCAAGCGTGAGAGAAACGCAGGCAGTTTTAATCAATTTGATGAACCGCTGTTTGTTTTGTTTTTTCGTGCGCATTAAGTGTGTCTTCCTGAAGTAGAGGGGGGGGGTTCTGTTGAATAATGTATAGATGCTTGGGTTGTGTACTCACCACTGAGTGAATAATGGATGATCCCATCACAGATAACCTCGCAGGTACACACTTATCTTTCTCTCACCTCCTTCCCTATGTGTGTGTGTGTGTGTCGCTCGCTCTCCTCTACTATACGTACTGTACACACTGTACTGATGAGTTTGTTTTTCTCAGGGAACATTAATGGATCCCTCAGTACCTACTGTACAGGAGCCAACTCTTCTAGTGTACACACAAGTCATCTGGAGCTCTTTACCTCACACTTTGGGATTAAATGTCTTTATATGTAGCCATAAGAAACCTCACATTCTCATATTTTGATAGCGTGCAGAGGTACTGACCGTAGTCTCACTTTTTCATTTACTATTGAAGGTAACTTTGCCAATAAAAAGGTACTGACCACCAATACATGAAACCCCCTCACTCCTGGTCCATTGAACAATGTCAGATTCTGGCTTGGTGTCACATTTCTGTGACCAGGGGACTGGAATTTGAGATCATGCCTGAGCTGATCGGCCACTCTATGTGAAGGATTGATAAAATGTTGTTACATGTGGCGCACTAACAGCATCTGAAAACACTGACCACTGATGTAATGCACGCTAGATTTCTACCTAGCCTGTCTCCCCCCTCACAGTACAGGACAGTATGTGACCTGGGAGATGCTCCCCCACCGAGACTTTTAAAGTTGTGGTCATTGATACGCAAAGAGTTTTAGATCAGTGGTTAGGGTGGCATATCCACTGACAGGCACGTTATTACTCATCAGCCACAGTTCCGCAGATTGTATTTCAAGTGTTAGGAATCTCCCAAGTCACCCTCAAGGCGTTTATGTCACTGGTGCGCGTGGGTACATCTGTCTGCCATCAGTGTAGAGGCAGCCTACCTGCTGAGCAAGAAGAGCGAGGACACAGAGACCTGGACCTGGTCCTTCTTGCATGAGAGGAGTGTGAAGCGACTGCCAAAAGATGTCACACCAAACTGGAATTAACGGTATGTAACATTTTTAAAAGAAGAACTCTGTAATCTTTCTTAAATCAGTGTGTTTATGTGTATAAATCTAATTGTCTCCTAAAATTCTTTTAATCTTTTTTGTCTTTTTAGCGTTTGAGCTATCTGACATGTACGTCATACACTTAAATCCTCAGTATTTAATTGTCTTTAAAAACCTTAAAGCGGTTCCTTGTGCGTATATAAATAATTGTGGACTGTAAAGGCTACACATGTAATTATAATGTCTACTACTGATTGCCAGTTAAAATGTCTGTCTTCTGTTCTGATACTTACAATCATGATATGTAGCACCTACAAACATTTATGGATAGTTTAAGAGCCACCTATAGTTGTGTTATGGCATTTGGTAATCGGAGCGTAGGGGGACGGGTTGGCAGAAGCGCACCTCTCTCACCTTTCTCACCTGGTCTTACATCATTTATGAGACCGCTGTGTTTGGTAACCATGGTGAGAGAGAAGGAGGGAGTGCAATAAATACCTGAATCGAGTTTTCACTTCCAAACTAACATTAGTGGGTGTGGAAATTGGGAGAAAGTTGAGGTTGTTTTATCCCTCAGACTAAATTTTCTCAGTGGCTCTTTGGTGCATATGTCCCCTGTCTGAGTCACATTAGGTGATACCATGACTGCCTGGCAGTGGATCAAATTTTCTCCCTGAAGTGGAGTCTCAGGTTCTTACCTACCCAACTCTGTCTCACTTGCTTTCAACCCCCCATCCTCAGTTTTGACTTGTCTGCCTTATATCTGGTTACTTTAGCAACATCTGAGCTGAAGGAGTTTCTGGCCCGAGCGAGGGGAGGTGCCATCAGAATAATGAAGATAGTCATCAGAAATGGTAAACATGAGATTCTTCTTGTATTCAGGAAGATTTGATACAAGTAAACTTTTATTTCTAAATCCCAAGATGAGTTGAGCTGATGCATTTTTGTTTGCAGAGGAGTTGGTGCTAGACTGGTACAGAGAGCCAGTACAGAGCTGGGACAAGGATTACGATCAGTTCCTGCTTCCTCTGCTCACGCCTCAGGAACCCTGCTACATCCTCTACCGTCTGGACTCCCAGAATGCACAGGGATACGAGTGGCTCTTCATCGCCTGGTCACCTGACCAGTCGCCAGTATGTCTGGAGTGATGATGTCACTGTTTAGCCATAGTTTCAAATGTAGTCATTTGAATTATTGTAATTAAAGATTAAACCAAAACTACATGTCGGAAAACATTGTTATGAGCTGAAAAAGGGAAATAAGCAGGACTAAATTGAACAAAATTAAACTTTTCTGGAAACTACCATAAAACTTAAACTTAGGTAACTTTTTAAAGTTATTTTTCTAGTCAAAAAATTATTTAAACACAGGTTTAGGCTTAGAGTTTAATTGTTATTATTGAAAAATTGTGACCACTATTGAAAACATATTTAAATTATATTTATTGTTTCTATTATATTACACAACACGTGCCTTAAACACATACAACATATAAGAAAAAGATAAGATAAGGTAAGATAAAACAGACTTTAGTGATCCCAAACTGGGGAAAGTCACTCACTACAGCAGCTCCAGATACAACACAACAGATAAGAGAATACACAAACAACATATAATGAAAATAGAATAAGAGTTATATGTACACTACATACAGCTTTTTATAAACAGATGTGATTGATAAGGAACATTGCACAGGTCACAGCAGGAAGTGGTGGACTGGTGTGAAAATAAATAATCACACAGGACAAAAATATACACAGCAGTACAGATTAAAGGAAGTATAGGCTATAGATGTGTGTGAATGTGTGTTCTATAGTTACATTATTCCACATTTAAATTAAAATTCCTACCAAAACTTACATTTTCCTGAATGCCAATGCTCTGTAGAAACAACCATAACCATGGCTAATATTCATTATATCCTCCCATCTGTCTGGACACCTGTTAGGTGAGGCAGAAGATGGTGTATGCAGCCACCCGTGCCACACTGAAGAAAGAGTTCGGAGGAGGTCACATCAAAGATGAAATATTTGGCACAGTCGAGGTTAGTAAAATCCCTCCAGCCTGACAGCTGATCAGTGAATCTTCAGCGAGGTATCACCCTGTTTGTGTCCCTGTTCTGCAGGACGACCTGTGCTTCCAGGGATACCTGCGACACATGTCCTCCTGCTCCTCCCCAGCTCCTCTCACAGCAGCCGAGCAGGAATTACAACGAATTAAAGTCACAGAGGTAAAGTTTAAACAATACAAACTAAAGCACATACTGAATGTAAGTACATTGTGTACACTCAATCTTGTTTGCATCTGCTTTTTCCCTGCAGGATAAAGTTGTATGGGTACGTAAGCTTCTCTTCATAACACAAATTCAACTGTGTGTGCATGAAGAAGAGAAAGGACAGATTCAGAAACTGTCTCTTCTGTCCACAGGATGAACGTAGACGAATTGGGACTCCAACAGCGCGAGCGAGGGTTTGTTAAAGTCTCTTTGACTCACTGGCATTTAATTCCCTGTCATGTGTTGGGAAACATCAGCCCTGAGATGTCTGTGGGTTTTTTTTTTATCTTGCAGGTTACAATGGAGTTTGGCTTGGACAAAAGGGCGCAGACTCTTCAAGGTCTTGCATTCCCGTTACAAGAAGAGGCCAAACGAGCTCTGCAGCAACTCAAGCAGAGACGTATCAACTACATACAGCTGGTGAGACTGAAAACCTTTATCTGAATCTGTTCATGCAACAGAATGCAACATGTAACTTATTTCCTGTGAACCAAAACAAGCTGCCAGGATCTTTGTTTTTGTTTTAAAAACTGTGTACCATTGTTTGTCAGCGAGATTGGCTGTGCATGACTTGAACAACCCCTGAACAAAGCTTGTTTGTGTGTGTTGTGTTGCAGAGGCTGGATGTAGAGAAAGAGACCATTGAGCTGGTTCACACCAAACCTACAGAGACCCATGAGCTTCCCTACAGGATTCCCACAGATTCACCCAGATACCACTTCTTTATCTTCAAACATTCCCATCAGGGCCAGCTGCAGGAGGCACTGGGTCAGAACAGTCTCATTGTACTTCAGCATAATATAAATTAATATAATTTTGCTTTCTATTTTCAAGAAACTGAAGGGAAGTCAATTGAATTTGTTTTCTTCGGGATGTTACTCCTAGAACAAGTCCTCACTCATCACCTACAGTATATTCACATATTAACAATGGATCAAATGATCAAATTACCAAATATGTAACGTGAAAGGTGTCACTCGTAGAAATGTATATTTGCAGTTCATCTCTATGGAGCGTTTTAGCGTCTTTCAGCTCATTGTTTTTGGTCTAGGCTTTACTGTTCACTCTCACCCTCATCAACCTCATTTCCAGCTGCAGCAGGCAGCTATTCTCAGTGATGAGTCCACTGTACACTACCTCCTCAGCACTAAACAGCAGACAGAGAGGGTTAGCCATTAGCTGGAGAACATAACGGAGCATCTAGTAGCTAAAGAGACAGATATTTCCTCTAGGAGTCGGTGGAGACCAAAACAGAGCAACAAAAAGAGTGAATATTGAATGTACATTTGGCCAGGAGCTCAACTCCAAATTAATGATAACGTTACTCCATATGTGCAGGCTGTACAAATAATGAAGAACTGTTTAATAACATGTTAAACATATAATCTTTATTAGGGGGCAATATGTCAATATTATGTTTTTTGCTTGTTCCACTGCCCCCAAGTTGCTCAAAAGAATTTTACTGCAGATATCAGACACTATATAGGCATTGCGTTTTCATAGTGACCACATGTGGTCAACCAAATGTTACTCAGAGATTAGTTTTAAAACAGATATCGTGACTAGTTTTCAACACAACTAAAGTGATAGCACTTGTACTTATATTAGTATTGGATGTTCTAGTACTCTGTCCAGTTTTAAAAGAAGATCTGATCCAGCAACACAACAAATATCTGCTCCTTAAGTGACGACTTTATTTATCTCTTGCAGTGTTCATATATTCAATGCCTGGATACACCTGTAGTATCAAAGAACGGATGCTGTATTCCAGCTGTAAGAACAGGCTACTGGATGAGGTGGAGAGAGACTACCAGCTGGAGGTCTCCAAAAAGGTACAGATCACCCAAATGGCCCACAAATAAAATAACAATCAGACACAATCTGTAATATATCTCTGTAGAGGTAAACAGTAAATAAGGCAACCATCATTTATCTATAAACTGTTAGGATGATAATGAATGTTTTAGTTCTGTGGTTACTAAAAAGAGTATCCATTAATCTGTGTATTATTCTGTGTGTGTAGATGGAGATAGACAGTGGCGACGGCCTGACAGAAGACTTCCTGTATGAGGAGGTCCACCCGATGGAGCACACCTTAAAGCAGGTCTTTTCCAAGCCCCGTGGACCGGGAGGGAAGAGGGGCAACAAACGTCTCATCAAGGGTGCAGGGGAGAACGGGGAAGAAAGTTAGACATTATACCCTCACATAAGACATTACACACACACGCAAACCAACACGATATCTATGAATTGACTTGTTATTTGACTGTTTAGTTTCTAGCCATTTCTTCTTTTTACTGGTGGACATTCATTTCACACTGGAAACAGGAGAAAATAGATCCACCATAAAGCAGAATTCATTCATATTTTCCTTTGATGAAAGACGTTAACAAGAACACTGTTGGTAGTTTGAGTCTTATTGGCTGATATGTGAACACATCTTTTGGTTTATTTAAATTAAATTACATTTTGATTTACATGAAAACCTGTTAAAGTCAGATGAAGTTGTTATTCCTCTTAAACCCTAATCTTCCACCAGTGTGTCACATTACACACACATACTATTGTGCGGCCAAACTTTTCAAAACAAACTTTATTTTAAACTATAGTGGAGGTCAAAAACGTTCTATATACCAAATATGTCTGGAGGAATTTGGGGGAAATGGATAGTGATCGATTTATTTAAGGATTATTGGAAACAGGAAAAAAAAAAGAAAAATCAACATATTAAAGCGAAAAAAACTGTATTTCCAACACAGTCCCAAGATGTTAGAAGACAAAAGAAAACACAAAGAAGCACAAAACATGAAAATTAACCTGCAAATCCAAAATATTAAATAACTAATTAAAAAAGTACAGCTAAAATAACAATGTATCTTCAAATGGCATTATAAATATATTTCCCTGTCCTAACTTGACCTCTACATTTCCAAAGACTTGATGTGTAACTCAAGGCACCAGTGTAAAAAAAAGAAACTTCTGGCTACATTATAAAACAATGCACAAAATATATAAAACATTTACATTTTATACAATGGTGACAGCCATAAAAACATAAAGTCTTAGGTTTGTTTTCATTAATTTGTTCAATAAAGAGTTTGAACAAGCTGATACTCAACAAGTATGACACTGTCAGACAGTGGGGGCATTTGGGGAAATACAATTATTAGTTTTCCACCTGCGTTAGACGAGAATATTGACACCACTTTCATGTCTGTACGTTAAATATGAAGCTGCAGCGAGCAGCCGGTTAGCTTAGCTTAGCATAAAATGGAAATAGGGGGAAACAGTTAACCTGGCTTTAACAAAATCTGCCTAAAAACACTTCTAAAGCTCACTAACACTTTATATCTAATTTGTTTAATCCGTACAAAGACCAACGTGTAAAAACAACAAAGCAGTTTACAGGTGGTAATCCGGGTTGCCAGGCAACCGGCAGAGACTTAGATGTTAAAGGGTTAAAATGCTTTTTATATATAATAATTGTATTATTTTTCATTTGCCAATTACTGTCCAAGTTGAAGGCAACATTTCCCATCTCAGTTGCCTTCTCCTGTCTCTGCTGTCGACTTCAGGAAATGATTCTCGTTGTTTATTTATCCCTTCACTTATACTGATTCAGCTATTTACAATCATTGGAAAATGGCTTTTAAATGTCTGCTTTACGGTGGATTATCATTTATATTCCCTCGGTCTATGCTGTACCCATGATTCAGTCTTAACCACATGCAAATTCATCCACATCACACTCACTGTTGCCTTTGCCTTCTGCAGTCGCCTGAGCAAAGTTTGACTACACTCAACTGAAGGCTGTTGTTTTACATGGTCCTACAATAAAATATTTTCTTTATTTTCTAGTGTTGTTTCTCTCTCTGTGACTGTGTGTGTGTGTGTGTGTGTGTGTGTGTGTGTGTGTGTGTGTGTGTGGCCAGTAGCGGCAGCAGGGATCAGGGCTCAGCAGCAGAGGTCAGTTTGTGTGTTTTCCAGGAAGGCGTCTACTCAGAACCCTTCAGCCGTGCCGTTCTGCTGCTTTCATACCTCACGAGAAAGACGGTTGATTTTGTTTCTTGGAAACGGTTCAGGGCTGAATGGCAGCGTTCGTGTTGGTCATTATCATTGTTCATGGGAACTGTGGGGTGGGTGATAATGAACTCTGACTCTGACTTCTGACATGACCCAGTTCAGTTAGATTCCAGGAAATCAGGTCAACCATTTGCACCACACAGGCAATTTTCTCCCAGATAATACAACAAGAAAAAATCATTGGCTGAGAGGTTATTGTTCAAAGCAGGATGGGGAGAATTAGTATAGGAATAAAAACAGTGATTGGATGTTAATATATTACAGTGTTTGCTTTACTGGCCAATATTAATCAAATTATACTACTATAGTGCACGTGAACTGAAAGTAAACTACATATAATATATATATATATATATATATATATATATATATATATATATATATAAGTCATAAATCTCTGTAATGTTGAAACCATACAAGTGTTACAAACTCTGTTATACAGACATGTAAAGGTTGAAAAGCAGTATTCCCATTGGACACAAATGCAGCATTAAACAGATTATTGCCTGCAGCTACATCAAGACAGCCAGAGGCAACTCAAACATTACAGGAAGTACTGCTGTTTCTCTTCAACATAAAAGCTTGACAACTGTCTGCGGTGAAGAAACAACAGGTGATGGAGGAAATAAAACAATTAGGTGTTAAAAATTAAATGAATGAATAATACTTTATGAAATAAATAATCATATTAATAAATACACACTCAGCTGCCGGTTTATTATATCTAGCTAAAACTAATTCAGTCTAATACAGCAGACTGCATTAAATGAAGATTATAATAATAAACCGTTTTTATTTAGACTGTTTCAGAAGTGATTGCATGAATTATATAAATATTAATATATGATAAAATTAATTATATCATTAATATACATGAGGTGGACAAAACAATAGGTCTACTTATCAGTATAATGCAATACAATTCAACGGCACCACATATTAGGCTACAGCCTCCAGAATGATCATACAGTTGAATAAACACCTTTCTAAAACAGTGTCAACAAACTGTGTGTGAGGGGAGGATTTATTGACGGACTGTTTTGTTGGAGCTTTAGTTACGTTTACTTAATAAACAGCACATACTGGGAAATAAGTTCACAGTTACATTTACTTTGTATATAGGCTCTTATTAGCTTAATATATCTCTTAGGCTTTTATTATATTTCTATTTCCATTTTCATTTTTATTTTTACTTATATGTACATACCTATACATACATTTCTATGCTGTATATTGTGTTAGATATTGTAATATAAGTATTATTTATTTTCTTTAACATATATATATATAAGCCAATAAAATGTGAAAACTGAATTAATTATCATGCAATGTTGCATCATGCTTCTTTTACTAATAACCCAGCGTATTTCAAGTAATTTTTTTTATTTAACTCCAGCAGTTTTTATTTCAAAATGTGTGATGAGAAGTGGCATTGTGAAATAAAACAAAGTCCAAATAATCAAAAGAACCGCACAGACTCAAAATGTTTTAGTTGGCTCAGGTTGCGGTGGAGGGCTTGGACTCGTGACCTCATGGCCTCATTTCAGTATTTACAAACTTCTAAATAATTTCTCACAGCATGTGCTCCATCTTTACATCACATCTCCATCCTGCTCTGTAAGTCACAAAGTCTGAGCTCTTCACAGAGAGCGCCGTCGTTGCACTTTATTTTGAAGGCCGTAGCGGAAGGGGTGTGTGTGTACAGCGTGCGTGCGTGCGTGCGTGCGTGCGTGCGTGCGTGCGTGCGTGCGTGCGTGTGTGTGTGCGTGCGTGCGTGCGTGCGTGCGTGCGTGGTGTGTGTGTGAGGCTGCTGGCAGCAGCTTGTCTCTCACTGCGGGCGCTGAAACACAAAACCTTTCTCGGAAACAGATTCCTGGAACCTCCGTTAGTCCAAACTGAACTGAGCTGTTTTCTGTCCCGCAGTTTACTGAATAATAAAGAGCTTCACACTCCGCTTCAGTCTCACACTCTCACTCGGATGTTTGTTTTTGCTTTATTTCTTTTATGACAACAACAAATCTTGTATTTGAAGAAATGCTTTCTTCTTCGCCATATTCGACTGAGACACTTCATTATTCACTGTGAGAAACTGCTGAATTATTATTTCCCTGGGCTGTTTTTATTTTTCAAGCTGGTCGCGAGCCCTATGATTTGTTTTTTTATTATCAGGTAAGATCATTTTAAAGAATCACATTCATATTTTATTCTTTTCTTATCATCTGCTTAATTCTAACACTGCTATACTTTACTAACATTTTCTTATGGATATATAAATAATTCTAATGCATGAATGATTATAAGCCCGCAAGCATTGGCTTTTATATATGTTTATATTTATATCTATATAGATATATTAATGAGTTATCTTACCGTCACATTGTGTACTGTAGACCAACCATTAGGGCAACATGGGTACTGCTTGTATAGCTATACTGCTTACCTTGTATCTTTAGTTAAATTGCTGTTGTGTAGTCTCGACTTTTATTTCGTATTTTCTATTTAATCGTTTATTTTATATATTTCAAATAATGGTTTTTTATTTTACGTTTTTTCTATTTACCTGTACTTATTCTGTCCTTAACATTTGGACTTTCCCTCTTGGAATCAATAAAGGTTTATCTAATCTTATTTTAATTTTTAAATTCTGTGTTAAGTAAATACACAGTGGCCACAGGAACTAAATATCTGACTCAATCAACAGCTATATATATTGTTCTGTACTGGTTTAATTAATTTTGTAAATTTGAGTTTTAATACTCTGTTTCTTTAATTGTTTGTTTGTTAAGTTCTATATTTTTCTGTACTTTTATCTGTCCTTGTGCTGCTGTTTGGTTGGTTGGTTTTGTGCCTGTTAGTTAATATTTGTGATCATATCTCAATTAAAATTGTGCAACCAGAACACACATTTACAAACTGAGATGTACATTGTATTACTAACTTAACCTGACAGAGATTTTGGAACAGAATACAATAAAAGCTTGTAAAGTAAGTAAATTATTATGTTTGTTCTTATTTATTCTGTTGACTATGTTAACAGGGCTGCCGTCAGTCAGAAATGGTTGCCCGGGCTGTAGCTGTTTCCCATCATGAGGAGCACAGAGGTTTATGCTGTCCTCATCCTTCTCCTCCACCCTGGGACCCAGCAGAGGACCTGCGCTGCATCGCCACCACCTTCCAGTATCTACAGACCTCAGGTACGCCAGCAGTCTCACTGATTTTGACTTCACATTTTATTTCATTAAAATACAACTAAAACAAAAATTAAAATTAAAACTGATATCCAAACCATCTGCAGGCTGGTACTGGGGTTCCATCTCCGCGGTTGAAGCTCGCGAAGCTCTCCTCAAACAGTCTGAAGGCACATTTCTGATGCGGGACAGCAGTCACCCTCAGTACATGCTGGCCCTGTCGGTGAAAACCCGCTGTGGACCTACCAGTGTGCGCATAGAGTACAGCAGGGGCTCTTTCAGGCTGGACTCTATTTCCCCCAGCCTGCCTCACCTGCAGTCCTTCCCAGATGTTCTCAGCCTCATACAGCACTACAGGGGCTCAGGCGACACGCCGCAGGGCCAGGCATCTAAGGACATCCATCCCAAAACAAAGCCCGACCCTGCCAAGCACACAGTTAAGGACAGCGGCGTGCCTCTGAAGCTGATGCACCCCCTGCACAAACCAGAGGCCTTCCCTTCATTGCAGCACCTGACGCGCCTCACAGTCAACAGATTCACCGACTCCCCCGACCAGCTGCCACTCCCAAAACCTCTGCTGCGCTACATGCAGGACTACCCTTTCCAGATATGAGGGTCCCTGTCCCTCGGGTACAGGACACAGAGACAGGAACGTGGGTCAGGGTCACACTCCATGAGCACACACTGTGAATCTGGGACAGTTGGACACCCCAGGCAACAGACAGCAGCCCAGAGGGATAAAAACTGAAATACTTCATGTACAATAAACCTCAGTGTGACCTCACTGCTCATGAATAAGCTCAGTCTTGCTACAGCACTACTGTTGTTCTCCAAAAAAAACTTTGTTATTGTTTTTATATATATTTACGCTACTGTACATTATTTTATTTCTACAATGTCCATATGTGAGCCCCCCCCCAGTCATTGGCTCCATTTCCCACCAGTAAGAAGAGTCATACGGATTTGTTTGCATGTTTTAGACCAGTGGTCCCAAAGACAGACACAAACTTATCAATAATAAATCTGTAAAAAGAGCAGCTATTGTTTGCTTTGTTGTTCCAGCAGAGATAACATTAGAAATACTGTGGATTTTTTATTTTTTTCATGTCTGTTTTTGTTTATTCTGGAGCTCATTTTGAGGGTGCCAAAGGACCTGAGATTTGTGTTGAGTGCTGAACAAAGCAATGTTTATTCCCTCTTTATGAAATCAATGAACCTGATGAACCATGGCCAAGTCAACAGTAATCTCACGTGACGCTTGCAACCGTTGGGCACCATTACAGTTATCACAAATCTCTTAAACATGTATTTGCATATTTTTTTTTTGTTTGTTTGGGTTTTTTTGTGTGTGCTGTGGCTCTCTTGATACAGCATGTTTTGATCATTATTTTGCACAAAATCCGAGTTTGGAGCCAAACAAGAGATTCTCTCCCTGCTGGGTGTCACTGTAATGTCTCCCTTCTGCATGTCTGGGTTTTATTGGTCAAATCCAATCACAGTATAATTAGGAATTTAAATAGTTGAGGGTACGTTGATATGGCATGTTGTTACCAATATTATGAATGTGAAAGAATTGAGG